GTGTCGTCCCATGTGGGGTTTGAACCCACAACACACGGCGTAGTAGGAAGCGGCGTGGCGACCGCTTAAACCACTACGCCATCCGTGCAGTCAAATTAGTAGTATTAATTGTATTATTATACAATTCTTTTTACTACATAAACGTGCATTTTTATATATACTCGTACATATAAACATTTTTGTACATGTACTAAGTATAAGTAAGTATGGATTAAGAATACAGAGTGACACCACCCCTATTCATTCCGTGGGTGTCGTAAGAGCCGACTAAGGGAACTACCTCTGAAGGAAATCTTGACACAAACCTTTCGTCTCGCCAGCACGTTTCGTATAGTAGGCCAAAACCTCATTTCTAAGGCGAGGCCTATGGCCATCAGTGGACTTGTAAAGGCTGTTGATGATGATGATGACTACATAAAATATTATTTCTTTCTCCATATTCCATAAAATATTGCCACTACAATAAACTGTCTGCGTGAACAGAGGGCTCAATTGAGAACCTCCTTTCCTTTGAAACCAACTTCGATTTTTCATTGAACTATTTTAATCCCCTTTTAAGTCTGGAGAGTTTTGTCAGAGATAAAGAATATCACATCCAGATAATTTATTGTTTCAGAAACTTTTCTACTTGTCTAAAGTATAATATATATATAATTCAATATAAATTATCACTTCAAGATCATCACTTACTTCAGGTCACAGGGTACCAAAACAACATTATTTACATGCACAGTAGACGAGTTCAGTCGTAAATTGATTGATAAATTGCGCTTATCATTCACTGATAGTGTATCACAAACAATGCTTTTGATGTTCCCGAAGTGCGGTAGTTTGAAAAATAAACTGACGGCTTAACGAGAAACTCAATGTGTTAAAAAAACAACTTCACCTATATGTTGTTATGATCATCTTTCTGCTTCTTCCTCTTCAGATCTCTGCCAAAGTTAATCCAGATTTGTTCAGCTGTTAACCTGTGGTTGAGTAACGAAAGTAACTTTCCCATTTATAATAATTTAAATGTTAAATTGTGATGGTGTACTCGTTAAAAAGAATACGGGCTGGTCGTGTACCTGATACCATCACGATTACCTACTTTTTTTAATGCAACAAGTCTTTCAACGCTCGACACTACTAAGATGCCCTTAGCTCTAGCTCTTCGAGTATAATTTCAATTCATATCAATTTTATAGTATTGAAAACCAATTAGCTTTGACTGACAATTATGATGTTAATTATATGTTTTGATCCAAAGACCTAAGATATGAAATTGTACTGCCTACTTGACCCAAATATTTGTGTTAAGTGCTAGTCATTTGCACATAAAGTAGGCACGACAAGTCCGAATACCATCTGGTCAATCGGAATTATTATGTCAACCGATATTGCAAAATAACTTTGTCTAAATTAAAAAAAAATACAAATAATAACACAATATATTATGTATTAAGCCACGAAATAATAATCACGTATTATAATTTGCATCTATACACGCAGACTCGTTCACCGTTTGGTGCGCTTTTAGGAATAATCTTTTAAAAGCAAACAAAGAAATAATCTACAATAATTGTATTTTTAACAGATCTTTAGTCTAAGGAGGAGGTTGCCAATTCGATTAACAATAAATCCTCGGAAATGTTATTTTTTTGTTATTTTTGTTGACATTGCCTTGACCCTTATTGAAATTGCAATGTAATGATATTGAAATAGAGTTCTCAAGTGTATATATATCGTATAACAGAGGACTGAGGATGTGGACTCATCAAAACCGTACAAAAAACTTAAATAATGTATATACTCTGCAATACATGCCACAATAAAAAGGATGATATAACTCTTATAAAGAAATAACACAATGCTTTATGACTTACGCGTATGCGCGGATATTAGCGATTGTAGCGCGTGATTCACACTGGGTTTCTTGCGCGCATTTCTCAACGGATGCGGATACTTTCGTTTTCTTTAACTTTTTGTCCATCATAAAAGGGATATGCACTTACAATTGGCTTATAACATACGTGCTATTGGATTAAGATCAAAATAATGTTGCGAAGAAGTTTGATTCTGTACGACCTATTATTATTATTCCCAGAAGCACCTCTCTCTCGCGATATGTAACATGACGATCTTGCATTATAAGTTCCCGCACAGTATAAATATTTTGAGGTACAACCGATTTGAGGCGGGAAGGGTTTAAACTCACTAAACCAGTGATACAGTTATTTTTATGGTGCTTCGTCCCCAAAAGTAGAGGTGAGTTGATCGATGCACGCTTTTTGAGTTAGCCCTCGGCGAAAATCGTAATAAATCATAGCACGACAATTTTAAATCCATAGTGATAAATACACGCAATTTTCAAAATGGCGCCACAAAGGATAAACAAATGTCAGCTACATGAAACAAATTGTATTCTTCAGCAAAACAGTTCCATTTTTAAATGTTATAATTACTTTTTTAATATTGGTCTGTAACTGGCCAGTTCCGGAAACATAGTCAGCAGCAGCACCAGATACATAAACTACATCAATAATTAATTATAATTAACTGATATGTTGTTTATACCTACAAGTGACAATAATAATAATCAAACATTTAATTATATTAAGAACATATCGTGTTTTATAATAAGTTGTTATACAAACTACAAAGGAATCGAGCGAAACTTATTGCAATTAGTTATCTCATGCAGTCTACCATCGCATGGAAAGACAATTTATGATTTAATTAAGTAATTAGCCGTTTGCTATGATTCTTATATTACTTATTAAACCCTATAACTACCTTCTAAATATTGCAGTTTCAGTTCCGTTTTCCTCTCCGAAATTTGCGGTATACAATTTAATATAGCTCCCTGGCAATGCCCGTTTCCCTTAACCATATTAATTTTCTTCCTTTGTTCCGTCTGAAAATGATTCATTCAGAAAGAGGGTTGACGTCAGACAGACAAACCGGCTATAAAAGAACCCAGGCGAAACTTTTTGCACTGTTTTACATTGCGCCGACTTCAAATAGGATTGGGAATTAATCAGAAAAATTATGATTATGATGAATTGGTATAAGTTTTCTCTCCATCGTTATCCAATGAACTTTAGATGTAGTCTTCTCCTAAACCTCCAAAGTTAAACTTACAGAACTAGGTCGACTAATACAGTCATAGCTTGATTGAGCAGTATAGTAGCTATAAAAAATATTTACACTGACTACAGGACTGTGCGTGACACTGTTAACGTGTGTTACTAGTATCGTTCATCACGCTAGTTTGTATTAATATGTCCAGCGATGACACTCGTTTTCATTCAAAGAGTATCATTGTTTATTAGGTCATAACATAAAGCTTATGAATGAGACAAGATTCGTAATACTTCTTAGAAAAGGAACTGATAAATACAGCTCAAGTCTCCTTTCAATCGCTGATAACTGCAGTGTTTTGATAACTATAATGTAATCGGTGGAGCAAACTGTATTTACTTTGCTAAAATCAACCATGAAGTGCGACACCAATGGAGAATTCGATAACGTTTAACTTAACCGGTGTTAAGCATTTCTTTTCACCGAGTGATTGAGGTTAGCAGGAGCCCGAACGCCTCCTCAACGTGATTCTGAGGACGGCAGGTGTCCATTGGCGGCGTAGTCACTTAACACCAGATGACCCGTTTTCTATTTTGCCCGTTTATCATCAAAATAAACATTTTAATTAACTTTAAAGATTTCGTGGCGATGGTTTACTTTTCGTTACACGTAAGAGCATGCCGTGCTGTAGAGATTATATGGTTACTGCTGCACGTTTTAGTAATACGCATGCTAAATTGCAGTAATACATATAATATTAAGTGAAATACACCGGTAGTGGAGTCATATTTTATATTATGCAGACAGTTCTATAACAGTGTGTCTTATGAATTAGTGTAGTGTGTACAACACTAAATACACGCATAATACAGATAAAATACACCTAGAGACAATAAATTATGATGATTATCACTCAATAATTTGTCCGTTGTTTTTCAACAGGCTTTATAAAGATTTTGACAGGTTTCTACTACGTCTTTATTACCATTTAGATGTCAATTGCCCTCATCACATCGCCCATTATCTTCCTAATACACCAAGAGTCTTAATGTCCGTATCGAATTTAATTTCTGTACAAATATTTATACCATCGATCGATGGACTGGTGACAGGTTCTTGTCAACAAATGCTTCAGTATTTATATTTTTATCGATTTTACTGTAAGGTGTGTTTGTAGCCAAGATAATCATGCTTCAGTGACAATTTTGCGATAAGGCGTTGATAAAATACTTTGATTAATATAAAAGATCAATATATACTTCTGGATGTTTAAGTCATCAGTTTTATGAACATTGAATTGAAATCAAAGGGAGGAATATTTTGCAAATAAAAGCTATGCTTTGGAAAGCTATAATATAGCCTATTAATATATTTCTTTTTCATAAACATATATTTCATCTGGCGCCAAGAGGAGCTAAGCGAAAGTAGGGGCACTACCTACCTTGTCTTCGAAGAGCTTCGTTATTTTTTGAACCCTCTGACTTGGGTTAATTATTTCTACTAACGTGTAATTTGAATATTGCATCGTGACCATTATGACATAAAAAATAATATAAAACCTACCAATGACGTGCCCTTTGATAGGCCCATTCGTCCGCTTCTGATATCGGACTTTCTAAATGGCTATAACCAGCCATCTATGGCTCCAGTACATCATCCCGGTTTCTATTTATTTTAATGATTTCTTGAAAAAAGCCATTTTCATATATTTTACGAAGAGAACTTTCAGAAACAATTTTAACTAACGAGTACATTTTGAACACAAGGTCACATCTTCGGATACTAGTGTTCATTACACATCATCATATCAACAGCCTTTAACAGTCCACTGCTGGCCATAAGCCTCTCCTTAGAAAGGAGATTTTGGCCTACTATAGTGTTGAATTCACATGTATCTAGTCTACCCTTTATTAAAAATATTGTTTCTTCCACAGACATACTCCGGTCTCTTCTGCGTGGTGGTCAACCCATACAAGAAGCTACCCATCTACACGGAGAAAATTATGGAGAGATATAAGGGCATCAAACGGCACGAAGTACCTCCCCATGTGTTCGCCATCACAGATACGGCCTATCGTTCTATGTTGCAAGGTTAGTTAAATACTTATATCATGATCATCATCATCATCATCATCAACAGCCTATAATAGTCCACTGCTGGACATAGACCTCTCCATAGAAAGAGGTTTTGGCCTACTATACCACGCTGGCCAAACGGGTTGATATAGGGTTTGTTTCAAGTTTTCCTTCTCTTTGCAGTGCTGTTGTCCTGCGTAGTTTGCTCCCTTAGTCGGCTCTTACGACACCCACGGGATGAATAGGGGTGGTGATTTTCCGTATTCTTAATCCGTCACCACACGGATTAAGAATACGTTGCCGTATTCTTAATCCGTGTGGTGACGGATATACGGATATACTTATACCTAAAACAAAAAATATATCTACAAGATTAAAGAGCTAATTTTATTCAAGAGCATGGCTAGTCATACAAGGGATAGATAACTCCTGACGAAAACCATTTACAAAAAAAATACATATTTTTTGACTGCCTCGGTTGTGCAGTGGCAGCGTAGCCGACTGCTGCGCTGAGGTCTCGATTTCGGTGTATGATCTGCAAATATTTGGTTTGAAGTTTGGGTGTTTTCTAGGTGTAATATGTATGTATTTACGAAGAAAAGTACATAAGTATTCTATCAGTCAATCTAGCTTTCATAGTACAAGCTCTGTTTAGTTTGAAACTAGATGGCGTTGTGTGACAGATAACCGAAATATTATTATTTAATCTATTGAAAAAAATAGAGGTAACTTAAGGAAAAGCCTTGAGATTTTCAGTATTTTTTTCTACGTACCTAATATTATTTGGTTGACTGTTGTCTGCTATAATTTATTATGAAGACATGCAACTAATTTATAAAACTAATATTAATATGCTATATTACCGAAATGGCATTACTAGAACAGGTTGGGCTGAATAAATGATTATTCGATTAAATATGTTTAGAAAATACAGGATATAGCAATAAATAACTCTAATGTACCTAGATAATGGAGCTCGTTTTAACTCAGATAGTAACGGCATCATTACAAAACAATTAAACGAACCGCCTTATCGCCTTTGAATACTAATGTCCCAAAACAGTGCGACAAAAAGTTTCAAATAAACGGACAGAAAATATCGTCAAGATTTTTTTTTTTTTTTTTTTTTTTTTTTTTTTTTTTCAACGATTGGATGTCTAGTGAGCATTCTCTATTGCATCATAGATTCTACATCGCGCTTTTATAGTTCACGCAACTGTTGAATAGTGTGGAGGATGTAGGAATGTAATAATATATAAAATTGCCTTGGTAATCGTTGAGGACGAAGAATAAAATATTCTAGAACACACCTTAAATATTACAGTAATAGCATTAAACTTAAAAATGGTTTTTGATTTTTCAAGGGTGGTAGAATGCTCGAATGACGCAAGGCATGATTAGAGATATTATAAACTTAATGGTTTAATGCGTTTATTCCAGATCGTGAAGACCAGTCCATTCTATGTACCGGAGAGTCAGGCGCTGGTAAAACGGAAAACACTAAAAAGGTGATCCAGTACCTCGCATACGTCGCCGCATCCAAACCCAAGGGATCTGGCGCGGTAAGAATAGTCACATTTATTTTTCGGTGCGTGTTGTTTTAACTTGAAAGTTGAAAAGACAAATGAGAAAACCTTCAAGAGAAAAAAGTCTTGAATAAATCTGCTGAATCGTAAAGTTAGGTTAGAAATGGGACAGATGACGGCGTATTGGCTAATATTCGAATTTTGCTTTTAGTGTAAGGTGAAGTATGTAGGTAAGAATGAATTAGTAGTGTAGGACGTTAATAAAGGGCTTTATTATAATTTAAAAAGCTGTCCTCTTGCGTATATTGCACCAGAAACAAAGTTATTCAGTTGTAAACTGTGTTTGATTTTCTATAGTTTTTATAGAAAATTGGGTGTTCTTTTTTATGGTATACTCGTAAGGGGGCAAACGAGTAGACAGGTCACTTGATGGTTAGCACCTACCGCCGCCCACGGATACCTGCAACTCAAAAGTCACAAGTGCGTTGCTGCCCTATGAGTCCCTCCCGCTCGAGTCAGCGGGAGGGGGGATTTGGGCTCCTCACTCAGTGAAAGGCATCTTCTGTGAGGCCGTGGTATCACTCCGGTGAGCTGGCCCATTCGTGCCGAAGCATGGCTCTCCCACGGTAAATATAATTTTTCATATGGATTGATGTCCAAATGAACACAGTTGCTTACTCAAATTTCAAGTCGTAATATAGACATACTAGTAGTAACTGATAAAATACCACATCGATTGTTATCTTTTATGAATGTAAATCAGTATATCGGCAATCAACTGAACTCAATGTGTCACAAGCAACCTGGAAGCAAGACCGCGGTACAGCAAGAGGTATGGCCACACCCACTGCGGTAATACCTTGCAGTCGATGAGCAGTTTTGAGATAAGACAGTATATTAGACAATGGTATTAATTTTGTTGTTCGAAAACTCTCTAAACTAAACTAAAAATCACTAAAAAAATGTTTAGAACTGTCAAATACTACGTTTTCAGAATACGCAACTTTATTAGACAGTTCTAAACAATTTTTTTGTGATTTTTAGTTTAGTTTAGAGAGTTTTCGAACAACAGAATTAGCACCAATGTGTACTAGTGTTTTTTTTTGTATTGCGGAACACGAGTAGTTAGATAGTCGTAGTACAGAGTTGAAAAGCAGTTTATATTCTTATAAATTTTTGTTTGTTAGCGTTCGCATGTCTATTGGTTCGACTATCGTGTTCGGGTGAGAATTGAACCTAGTCTCGTCTCGTAGTTGTGCTAGAAGTTTCTCGATTATTATAGAAATAATTAAGAATAGATTATTTACAGTAGCAAATAACTAAAGGCAACGTAATTATTCACTTAGATTGACGATTTATTGACTAAGTAAACAACATGTTCTATTTTATCATCGAGGTCGAACATTTGTGCTAAATTGGTAAATTCTTATAACGCACACTATTAAACACCATATTTTTTGTATTTCTGCTTTAAGTGAAATAATTGGCAAATAGTGTAGGACCTAATAAAACTGCCTTTACCCGACTTTCGAAACGAATGACTTGAAAAATAACATGGTCGTATATTCTTATAGCCTTTAGTAAAAATGTATTTGTTTATCGACATCTGTCGTAGTCTTCCCTTGTTGATTGTCCCAATGAGAAGAGCAAACGATACCTTTTATAGATATGACGTCATACAATGAATCGCAAACATATAATCAGACTCTTTTTTTATAACTTCAATTGATATATTATAGTAATTATGCTCACTAAATCTAAACTGTCTTCGTTTAGTTATAAATTTGCATAAGTTGTGAGATTTATGTACGCTATATTGTACATTACGTGTTTTGACACCGGCATGCTGTGGACGCATGTGACATAAACAGGACATGTCCTTTAACTTAGTGTTGCTAGAAAAAATATATTTTACTAATTGACCACTTAGTAATTAATATTATTAGTAGAATTACCATTTTCTAGCAACATAAATAAAGGTCTATAAATTCTTTTGCAACACTGATGTATATATTTTTTTTATTTCCCTTTCTTTCACGCGACCTGGAATGGTACGACAACAACAGGGACCGACACCACAATTGATTATAGTAAGTCATGGAAACGATAAGAACAAATTATTGCCTGCCAATGTGCTGGGGGTGGGGGGGAATCATAAGTCGTGGTCTATTATTCTCACTGTGTCTTTCAACTAGACACTCAACCACTTACGTCAATGTTGACAGATTTGCTAACTACTTAGAGATTATTATGAGAGAAAAATGGTCCAAACTCTCACCTCATTGACTATTATTCAAAAGCAAATGTCTACGTCTATTTACTACTATTCAGCTATTAATATTAGTGTTTTTTCAAAATTCTTAGAAAATATGAAAACGGATTGTACATCAAGATTTTATTTATTTTTTTACTGTGAGAATAATATTCTACTTGATACGGTGCTTGCTTGTCCAATGATACTATGGGCATTGGTTAATGGTGTGTACACAGACTTATCTGGCAATCAAAGACAAGAGAAACAAAGTTTTTTTTTATTTAGAAGGTTACAGTTTATAAAAGCCGCAAGATTTAGGCTTTAAAAAGCCACCAATTACCGGCGGATACTTTGTTACTTATTGTCTGCATTCTTTCAGTTATGTCTGTGGTAAGGTTGTACAATAAGGCTTGAACGCATGTTCGCATGAATGTCAGATTGCAGCATGACGTATGTGATGTAAAATTGTTTTATTTACGTCGTGCTATCATGCAAGGCATTGCTTAAAACTGGGATAGGTGCTAAGCTTATACATAATATAATTTCTTGGATAATACCATGTGTTATTCTAGCTTCCTACTAGCTCGGGATTAAAAAAGTTGATGGCTAAGACAAACTTAGAAGGTAAATCTTAGGTTTGAGATAAATTAAAATAGCAGAATCGTAGTTTTATTCTTTTTGATTGTAGTTGTACAACAGCGGTTGATGGACATATTTTTTTTCTAATATTTTATAAGTTTTTTTCCGCCTATTTTTTGTATTACCTTTAACATTTAACACGTTTAATTATAACAATGATGTCATTAAGCCTTTTAACTTTTAAGAACCTTAGCACGTAGCCTCCATGCGTCGTGAGCTTACCAAATGTTGTGGTCATGATTTCACCATTACTACACAATGGATAATCTCCGCACAGTGGCTCGTAAATAAACCTCTTTGTTATTTATTACTACCCGTAAATATATTTAGTTACAAATGTTACTATTTCGGCTCGCTAATAGAGTATATTTCAGCTTTTTGAAAGTAATTTTGTTTTGCAATAAAGTATTTGATAGATGTTAGAAGGCTGGCCATACTAAAGAGATCTTTGTGGGCAAGCAGCGTCTCTACTATTTAGTACTGCACTTAGTTAATTACTTAGAAAACTCTAGCCCTCTTATTGTAGTCATATCATGTTCAATTTATTTGGTAAAGTATTTACTGTGCCAAATGCACATTATATGTTGTTATGGGGCATGACAAATCGCTTAAAATATCGGTCACTTCGATGGCGGTTTCCGTGTGTAATATATAACTGTTAATATTAAGCTGTCAGGCCGTGGTTCTCCAAACACGTTTGTGTCAATACAAAGCTTAATCTTAAAAACATTTCCCCGTATATCCCAAAGGTCTAATAGCGCGATTAAATAGAGCATGCGTCACTACCTGCATCAACCGTCCCTGGTGCTCTGGGTTAAAGATTCATAAGTGTTATTTAGTTAATGTAGAAAAAGAGGTGTATTTGCGTCACTACATGTCATGTTGTATTGTTGCTAACAATGTTTCATGTAACTAACCCTGTAACATTAACATTTACGTTTCATTTCACGCTGCTACTTCCACGTAGACAAATGGACCTACATTCGAGGTAATGGAACGCTAAAACTATCATTCATTGGTGTTTGGTGTGAGAGTTATGCATAAAAATTCATGTTAAAAAAGTAATATTTATAAATTGTTTCAGATTCCATTGTTAATTTCATGAAGTATATAGTAAAATATACATTGCCTTACATAAGCGGCTCCCGTCGATATGACGAATGCTCACTATTGACCTGTGTCTACAATTAGTGACCAATGTATAATTAGTTATCATGTTTTGTATTACAACAGCAAGCCGTTTAATATAAATATCGTATACATAAAATGGTTTGTTATTGTAAGGTATTCAAAGGTTTAAATTTACATTGTAACGAAAGGTATTTTAAACTAAACGTTAAAAGTAAACTATTTTCGTTTACGTATATAAAAAATTAAATAGTAAACATTGGAGATATTAACGGGGCTGCTTATATAAGGTTTAAAATTAGTGTAAATCAGCTGTAACTTTTAGATCATGAAGTTCACCATAGCCTAATATTGAGTATTAGAATACATTTTTTTTAAATAACACATATCATCGTAATAATAACTTCATAGAGAAAACTTGGAAATAAAATTTACATTATATGATAGATAAAATTGCAGCTCTTAATCATTACTAACATACGAAAAACTACCAAAAAAATTTGCATGAGTCCACGTGTAATGGAGTTTGAAAATAATAATGAGACCCATTTCTTTTATAGGGCGAATTGGAACAACAATTGTTACAAGCTAATCCCATTTTAGAAGCATTCGGTAACGCTAAGACGGTCAAAAACGACAATTCTTCAAGATTTGTAAGTATAAACATTTTGAATACTTATAATATATGAAAAATAACTCGAGATACTAAATGTTGTTTTTTACATTTTCCAGGGTAAATTTATTAGAATTAATTTCGACGCATCAGGTTTTATAGCTGGTGCGAATATCGAAACGTATTTACTCGAGAAATCGAGAGCGATACGACAGGCGAAAGATGAGCGGACATTCCACATTTTTTATCAACTCCTCGCCGGAGCGACTTCTCAGCAGAAAGCTGAATATATTCTCGAGGACCCTAAGAGCTATCCCTTCCTGTCAAATGCAGCTTTACCGGTTCCCGGTATTGATGATCATGCAGAATTCCAGGCGACGATTAAGTCCATGAATATAATGGGAATGAACAACGAAGATTTCAACTCGATATTTAGAATAGTATCAGCGGTGCTCCTCTTTGGTTCGATGCAGTTCAAGCAGGAGAGGAACTCTGATCAGGCCACATTACCTGATAACACAGTGGCGCAGAAGATCGCGCATTTACTTGGTAAGAATTATTAGCTTTGCCTTTAAACTGTATATTTAAAGAACGCTACTAACTAGTCGTAATTGGATTCCAGGTCTTTCGGTAACAGAAATGACAAAGGCGTTCCTCAAGCCCAGAATCAAAGTTGGACGCGACTTCGTAACGAAAGCACAAACCAAGGAACAAGTTGAGTTTTCAGTTGAGGCTATCGGCAAGGCGTGCTATGAACGTTTGTTCAGATGGCTCGTCAACAGAATCAACAGATCTTTGGATAGAACCAAGAGACAGGGAGCATCTTTCATCGGCATACTCGATATGGCCGGTTTCGAAATTTTCGAACTGAACTCTTTCGAACAGTTATGCATCAATTACACTAATGAAAAACTACAGCAACTTTTCAATCACACCATGTTCATCTTAGAACAAGAAGAGTACCAGCGCGAAGGTATTGAATGGAAGTTCATCGATTTCGGTCTCGATTTGCAACCGACTATCGATTTGATCGACAAACCTATGGGCATCATGGCTTTATTGGACGAGGAATGTTGGTTCCCTAAGGCCACTGACAAAACTTTCGTTGAAAAGCTTGTGTCAGCACATTCCGTCCATCCTAAATTTATGAAGACTGATTTCCGAGGCGTTGCTGACTTCGCCATAATCCACTACGCCGGCAAGGTCGACTATTCAGCAGCTCAATGGCTTATGAAGAACATGGATCCGCTCAACGAGAACGTAGTATCCCTCCTACAGTCATCTCAGGATCCATTCGTTTGTCACATTTGGAAAGATGCCGAGATTGTAGGCATGGCACAACAAGCCATGACTGACACACAATTTGGAGCGAGAACCCGTAAGGGTATGTTTAGAACAGTTTCCCAACTATACAAAGAACAGTTGACGAAATTAATGGCGACGCTTAGAAACACCAATCCAAACTTCGTAAGGTGCATCATACCCAACCACGAGAAGAAGTCTGGAAAGATCGAGGCGCCTCTAGTTCTGGACCAGTTGCGATGCAATGGTGTCTTAGAAGGCATCAGAATCTGCAGACAAGGCTTCCCTAATAGAATACCGTTCCAGGAGTTCAGACAGCGGTATGAGCTTCTGACTCCGAATATAATACCGAAAGGTTTTATGGACGGAAAGAAGGCTTGCGAGCAGATGATTGAGGCTTTGGAACTGGACCATAACTTGTATCGCGTCGGTCAGTCCAAGATCTTCTTCAGGGCTGGAGTACTGGCGCACCTCGAGGAGGAGCGGGACTATAAGATCACAGATCTCATAGTAAATTTCCAAGCGTTCTGTCGAGGATTCCTCGCTAGGCGAAACTATCAGAAGAGACTGCAACAGCTCAATGCTATTAGGATTATACAGAGGAACTGCGCAGCGTACTTGAAGCTGAGAAACTGGCAATGGTGGAGATTGTATATAAAGGTAAGTGAAATTTCCCATACAATTTAAATTCTGTTTTCTTATAACAACTGGCATATAAAAACACATCTGTCCCAACACTTTCACACAGAAGTATTAAATATAATTCAATAAAGGTTAAAGCTAATCGTAATATCTAATTCCCGTAATAGAATACAATAATACGGGAAGTCCAAACTCAATAACATTATTAAACATTACAATTAAATAGGTATTATATAAACATCATTATTATGAATATTATACAAATATGCGTGCCCTGTTTTGTTATAGACGAGTGCATTCTATTGTTAATTAAAGTACCCACACTTGCATACACTTTAATTGTAAATCATAATAACTCGGCCAGTTGTGAAGAATAGAATGGGGAGGCGAACATCTCATAGGTTACTTATACAATGTCACGTGAAAATAATCAATTCAGTCTTGGACAATTCCGCGTAAGCTCGCTAAGAGCTAGAAAGGTAAACGTTAGTAAATCATATATTAACTATAATAACTGAAATGAATATATATGGTTTACATTTCTTATCGAAACTAACTCAACAGTGGCAACTGTTTCAAGTAGGACAGACAATCATGTCATGAAGTAAAGGAAATAGTCATTAATGAAGCAAATATGTCGCCAATGTTTCTGCTATGCTATTTTGATCAGTCAGTATCTTGTTCAAAATTTCTTGAGAGTAGAGATATCGTTCAAACATAAAAAAAGAAAACCAGCTTTTGTATATAGTAAGTCAGCTTTTGGCGCAATATCAAACATAATCAGTTTTATTGATAGATCACATTTGCACCCACAATATTGCAATCAATACTTCGATAGAGCTTCGGTAGTGGGTATTTTAATTAAACTATCAATAGCAGTGTATGTGAATTTTTCAGTTTATGTGAATTTTTACACAGGTCAAGCCATTGCTAGAGGTGACAAAGCAAGAAGAGAAGTTGACGCAGAAGGAAGATGAGCTCCGTCAGATCCGCGAGCGTTTGGAGACGCAGATGAAACGGTGCTCCGAGTATGAGGTGAAGTTCCAACAGGCCAACGCCGAGAAGACACAACTGGCAGAACAGTTACAGGTAACTTATATTGATTTAATAATATTTATATGTAGAACCCAGACATAGAAGAAAAAATAGATTATTTTTGGTAACATAAAATAATTTTGGTATTGTAGGCGGAACTGGAACTATGTGCGGAAGCAGAGGAGTCCCGCGCTCGTGCAGCTGCTCGCAAGCAGGAGTTGGAAGAGTTGCTACACGACTTGGAGGGCAGAATTGAGGAAGAGGAGGAGCGGTGTAACACACTGCAGCAGGAGAAGAAGAGACTACAGCTTAATATATCGGTAATTACTTGGTTAAAGCTGGCATAATATCAGACTCGTAAAGGCAAATCCTTTATAATATTTAAGTTTTTTTTTATCATCCTCGTCAACAAATTACTAAAGTCTTTTAATTAATAAAAATAAAAACATCCTTTCGAATGCTTCCTATAAGTTGCCTCCCGATGTAAATGGTGAACAACGTGTTTTAGGACCTGGAAGAACAATTGGAAGAGGAAGAAGCTGCGAGACAGAAGCTGCAACTGGAACGTGTACAATGCGACTCCAAGTTGAAGAAGTTAGAGGAGGATCTAGCCCTCAGCGAGGATACTAACCAGAAACTTGTCAAGGAGAAGAAGGTATGTCAGTAACATATATTTTAGGTTTGTTTATCTCTCTTTATCCATAGATTTTGAAAGGACTACGTAAGGTTAGTTGTGGAGTATGAAAGCTTTATTTATAAGTCATTTCATATCTCTAATGGGAGCTATTATAAAGTATGTTCAACATTTTTATGTTATAATATTTTCTAGATCTTGGAAGAGCGTGCTAACGACCTGTCGCAGGCGTTAGCTGAAGAGGAGGAAAAAGCGAAACACCTCAGTAAGCTCAAAACCAAGCAAGAGTCCGCAATCGCTGAATTGGAGGAGAAACTTCTTAAGGTATGTATTTGATATAAAAATATAAATACAGAGTATTTTTATTTTATTTTTGAATGAGTATAACGTGTTAAAAATTACAGATAAAGAAGTTTCTTTATTATTTGCCTTTTTCTTTAATTTTCTGTTGTAAAATTTGTCAATTGCTATTGAATTACTTAAGTAGTGTATTACTTAATGTAGATAATATTCAATTACATTTTCGAAGAGAAAATATTATATTTATACTTTTGTAGGATCACCAAATGCGTCAAGAGACGGACCGGGCAAAGAGAAAGTTGGAGACTGAACTCCAGGACGTCAAGGAACAGCTGGTCGAGAGGAAGGCGCAGCTCGAGGAGTTGCAGATCGTGCTAAGTGAGTCCCAATGAATAACGACTCACTGCTGTACAGAGGGATTTAAAACGTAAAGCGCGATATTTTCACGTGGCACTGTATTAACGAGTTCGGCCACCCCCGCAGGCAAGCGCGAGGAGGAGCTGTCGGTGGCGGTGAGCCGCGCCGACGAGGAGGCGGCGCTGCGGGCCACGGCGCAGAAGGCGGCGCGCGAGGCCGAGTCGGCGCTGGCCGACGCGCACGAGGACCTGGAGGCCGAGCGCGCCGCGCGCACCAAGGCCGAGAAGCTGCGCCGCGACCTCAACGAGGAGCTCGAGGCGCTCAAGAGCGAGCTGCTCGACTCGCTCGACACCACCGCAGGTAACCTAACCACTACCACGCGCACATCCTTTCATCTGTCCATCTGTCCACCTGTGCTCCTTCCGACTCACCGATCGGATATCCGGTTACAGCCCAGCAGGAGCTGCAGAAGAAGCGCGAGCAGGAGGTGGCGGTGCTGAAGCGCAGCATAGAGGAGGAGACGGTGTCGCACGAGGCCACGCTCGCCGAGCAGCGCCACAAGCACTCGCAGGAGTTGCAGCTTCTGAACGAGCAGCACGAGCAGATCAAGAAGGCTAAGGCGGGTACGTATCGATATATTTAGTATAATTTTTAATGGTTAAACAACAGACAAACTAGAAATCATCATCAACAGCCTATAATCGTCCACTGCTGGACATAGGCCTCTCCTAAGAAAGGAGGTTTTGGCCTACTATACCACGCTGGCCAGACGGGTTGGTATAGGGTTTGTGTCAAGTTTTCCTTCTCTTTGCAGTGCTGTTGTCCTGCGTAGTTTGCTCGCTTAGTCGGCTCTTATGACACCCACGGGATGAATAGGGGTGGTGACATTCCGTATTCTTAATCCGTCACCACACGGTGTAGAAGTAATTAGAAATCAATTGTAGGAAAATTTTGCTACAAAATATTAATCACAAGTTAGGCGCAGTGTTCTCTGAACCATCGCACGCGAACGACGACGTATAAAAACGCGTCGGCTACAGCGCACCCTCCGTCGTCCCCTCGCGCTGCCGAGGGCGACGTTTCTAAGGACTCAGCGCTGAACTAGTGACCGACCGAAGGCTCGGTTTCGGCCAAAAGTGGCCGAAACTAATGTCCGCACCGTATCTCAGCGTTCGTGAAGTGTCGTACCTTGTTCGATTATCCCGATGGTAAGTGGGTTTCGGTTACGACTTCGGTTTTTGGCGGAATACCGTTTCGGTCGGACACTACGCTAAATATTTCCGTACATAGCATTCGCACGATACCGGGCGCGGATACGCGGTCCGAGAACCCTGCGCCTTAATAGTTCGATAGTAAAATTTGTTTAATAGCTCGAAATTGGGGCTAATTCTTAATACTGATTCATTTTTAACTACATCATTTTATTCATATTTCTACATCATGAGCACCAAATGCACCGGCTGTTTTAGCCAACATTTATCAATTATTAAAAGCATACAAAATATTTCACACTTTATGATTATAATAATTGAAAAACAGATAGCTTTTTCAATCTTTTTCTAATAAATCTTTTACGTGTATTTTATTATACGATTTGTTTTAACACATGTGTCTTTCATTTTTATCATAAACATCTACTATAAATATAACTCTGCCTCAAAAATGTCTTCAAGGATTAGAAAAGAGTTGACTAGGTAAACAGATTCCTTAAATTATAGCTAAGAACATACCTTACAAAATAAGACTAACCAGATCGATGCCAACCACTCAGAAGCTATGAAGGCACGCTGGTACAAACACCTCTCCTTTTTGCATCACGGTTGAAAAATATAAGACAATTCAATCACGTTTATATGACGGGCGTAGAAAACGCATTGGGTTTTTGTATACTATTCATGTCATACGGCGATCGCTCTTAACCAAAGAAGTTCTCTTGCATATTAAAACTAGAAAAGGTTTCATACTGCCAACCTTTTTCTGAAAAAAAAAACATTTGACAGATACTTTGGCAACAAAGACTTACTTCCAAATCTAAAAACGTTACAAACGTCAAAACCTTTTTAAATCTCTCGTTTACATAAAAAATATTTTTTAATTAATTTAGTATAATTTATTTTGCTACGTTTAAATAGTATGATATAACAGTATGTCGGGCACAAAGGAGCGTAGGCTTAAGAACGTGAAGTTCGGTCTATCGAAGGATGATAGCTTCGAGGTGGAGGAGCTGGCCGGCGGGCTCAGTCACTCGCAGGAGGAGGGCAGCGCCTTTGTGTCCGTACGGGACTACTGGAAGACTATGTGTAAGACTGACTCTTCGCCGGACAGAAAAACAGACACTTTATGTATGTTTGTGTTGTGTGTTATTGTATAATCCAATGGTTTGAATATTGAAGTAATATTTTAAAATGTGTTTAATGTCTGTTTCTATCAGTGACTATTTGTATAGATGTACAGTGCTATAATATATAAAACAAATATAGTTTCTGATCAAAATTGAATGTTAAAACAGAAAATTACAAAATTGTTTTTGTCAGTGAAATAAAATTCTACTCAAAATTAGTTTGACTGCTAGTCGTTTTAGGTTGCTGCTGTTTGAAGCTGTTTGAAGTTTGAAGATATATTAATGTTAAAAAGACACTTTTATTCTATTTCTGTGGATCGACTCATGTCGTAAGGTGTACGGGAACTTTGATATAATTTCGGCTGCGAAATCTTTTAACAGCGCATAGTATTGTATTAGTGTTTTTTTAAAAATCAGCTAACATATTTATTTGTTATACACAGCCCTGGAAAAGGCGAAACAAGCTCTGGAGGCGGAGAACGCTGACCTCGCGACGGAGCTGAAGAGCGCCAGCGCCGCCCGCGTCGAAGGCGAGCGGAGGAGGAAGCAGGCCGAGGCGCAGCTCGCCGAGCTCAGCGCCAAGCTGCAGGACGTGGAGCGCGCCAGGTAAGGTGACGTGGGTGAGTGACGCGGCGGGTCGGCGCGGTGGTGACGCGGCGAGTGTAGCGCGGTCGTGTGCGCAGGGCCGAGGTGCAGGACAAGTGCGCGCGGCTGCAGGGCGAGGCGGAGAGCGCGGCGGCGCAGCTGGAGCAGGCCGAGCTCAAGGCGTCGGCCGCCGCCAAGCACGCCGCCACCAGCGGCGCGCAGCTCGCCGAGGCGCAGGCTCTGCTCGAGGAGGAGACCAAGCAGAAGCTCTCCTTGCAGACCAAGCTCCGCAACGTCGAGCAGCAGCTCGAGCAGGCCCGCGATCAGCTCGAGGAGGAGGAGGAAGCCAAGAAAAACTTTGAGAAGCAGGTTAGCCTAAATGTATTCTGTTACACATATTACTTCTAAAGCATAGACACTGCTTTTTCGCGACTTTTTGGCTACCGTTTTTACTATATTCCATTCCCGTGAAGAAAAAAGTGACGCAATAATGGCACATCAATCGAGTCCCGCACCCTGTCCGATCAGGTTCCAAACTTATCTCTTCAACGAGAATCTCTTGGAACCTGATTGGTTAACGCTTATCAGGGTTGCCCCTGCGCTTGGCTTGATCAATGCGTCACTATTTTTTTTAACGCGAATAGATTATAACACACTTTTTTAAAGTAAATAAAGTTGGTTTTAGACAGGGCACTTTATAATGACAACAGTGACAAAATTCTGTAAAATCTTTTAACGTCCTACACAGGTGGCAGCCCTCACTCTCCAAGTGGCAGATGCAAAGAAAAAAGCAGAAGAAGAAGCAGAAAACGCAGCCGCTCTCGAGGAACAACGTAAAAAGCTCAGCAAAGATGTGGAAGCTCTACATAGACAAATTCATGAACTGCAACAAGCTAACGACAAACTGGACAAGAGTAAGAAAAATTTGAATTCATTTTTTTACCAATAAAGAGATTGAATCTACTTTATTGTTAAACAAACCATACAAGTACACCTTTTCACAACGAAATAGTAATAATAGTATTGCTTTAAAATAAATTTAGTTGAAAAAAGTTATAAATGTCTACATTAAATCTAAAAAGCGTGATTTACAGTCATGAGGAATACAATTAATTAATGTGCTGTTTTACAATATTTAATAATTTTGCGTTATAGGTAAAAAGAAGATCCAAGCCGAATTGGAAGATACTAACATCGACTTGGAGGCACAACGTGCCAAGGTGATGGAACTGGAGAAGAAACAGAAGAGCTTTGATAAGGTATTACTAAAATTTTGAACTTTGATTTCTAGGACTTTGACTTTCAGGAGTTCAGTAAAACTATCTGTAAATCTGATCTCATCTAAAAACAAAATATTTTTTTCTGTTTATTGTGTATTTCATTTAGAAAGACGTGTTGGTTTCTGGTCTATTTTTTCGAAAGTACCTAAAGACCTCGAAAACACTTCATTAGATGTTCACATCTGGACGTAATCATCGAAGGAGACTGGTCGGCAACTGGTTGCAAATATATTGCCCTTTAATTTTTACAAGATTATCTATCCACTTTGTTGGTGGACGCCCTACGCTGTACTTCAGTTCGCGGCTTCAACTCTAGAATGTTTCGAATCTGAACTTTAATATTCATTCCCTGCATATCGCGTTTTTGATTCGATCTTGCAAAGAAACTATTCCCATGCTCAGCTCGCGTGCGATCACGTTTTAACTCTGTATGTCTAGAGAAAAATGTAAAGGTAATGTAGAAGTAATATGCTTGTGTGTCCGGCAGGTGGTGGCGGAGGAGCGCGCGGTGGCCGAGCGCTACGCGGCCGAGCGCGACGCGGCCGAGCGCGACGCGCGCGACAAGGAGACGCGCGTGCTCTCGCTCACCAGGGAACTCGACGACGCCGCCGAGAAGGTACACCATTTCATTTATTTTTAGTAAATACCACCACTTCTACTTAGTATTGCGAGTATTGATAACGATTTCAATTCGTTTAGTATGTGGTCTGTTAACACTTAATCCATACTTTTAAAAATATCCCTTAGATTTACCTCAATAATTAGTCTAAATAGATATTTTATGATTGTACTGACTGTGTAACAAATATAACTATCAAGTATATATCTGAAAATGGTGGATATTTTAAATTATACAGTTTTTTGGATAAATGTATGTCACTACTGTGAACAAGGTTTTATGATTTAATTAAACGTTATCAACTGTATGTCAGGTATAAATCATTTAATCTTAGCCGATTTAAGGTATAAGCAGAGAGTAAATTAATGGTCCTTCGAGCCGTCATTAATTTTTCTTGGCGACTCGACTCGAATGCATAATATTATAATAAACAGATAAACACATTTATAATAAATGCGGATGTGACCATATGATAACAATAATATCGCTTTTGTCCATTTCATAGTGCTCATTTCTGTATTGTGTGTAATGTTTGTGTTTACCATATTTTTATTACTGTAAGTTTAATATTTACCAATAATTTTATTATTATAAATATTAATACTCGGACGACACCTTAAATCAATAATTAAATAATTGGTTTCATTAAATTTGTAAATATTTATTCTATTATATATAATTAGCAAATTAAAATTGTTAGTGAATGTTATAATTTTCTATTAAAATCACATGAATTTCAAAGAATTTCATCTCTGCTAACAATACTTCCTTTTTTGCAACAGGTTGAGGAATTAGAGCGTACTAAACGTATGCTTCAATCGGAACTGGACGAACTAGCGAACACTCAGGGTACAGCCGACAAGAACGTTCACGAACTTGAGAAGGCGAAGCGAGCCCTGGAGTCACAGCTGGCAGAGTTGAAGGCACAAAACGAGGAGATCGAAGACGACCTGCAGCTCACAGAGGACGCCAAACTTAGACTAGAAGTTAACATGCAGGCGATGCGGGCGCAGTTTGAAAGGGACCTACAGGTACGTTAAAAATGGATGCTCTGTCGTTTTGTTTAGGAGATTCTCAATAATATTCCTCTGAATAGTTTGAATATAAGAACGGATCTCGTTTTGAGAATTTCTCTTTTATCTGCAGTGCTATTCTCTACCACCGCATCAAACTTCAAACTAACTTAGTTGAATAGCACTGCTGTTACTAGCGGTGTTTTATCTAATATTACATTACATGACAATTCTATAAATAGTCAATTACCGATAGCCAAATAAAGTTAGAAGAAATTTCAATCGATCAATTGAAAGTAAAAATTTATTTGTTAATCAAATTATATCAGATTAAACTATTGAACTTGTCTGCTATATTACTGGACGTATTTACAGTATTTTTATTATTGTACTTTGGAAACAAGTGTTCGGTTCGTCCCCTCCAACTGTCTGACACAGTTTTTGATGCCAGATTAGATCATGCGGAAGTAACAGTGGTAATAACAATTAAAAAATATATTGTAATACGTGTTATATTTATAGGCGAAAGAAGAACAAGGTGAGGAGAAACGCCGTGGCATAGTGAAGCAGCTTCGAGATTTGGAGTCTGAGCTGGAAGAGGAAAGGAAGCAGCGTGCGGCTGCACTCGCTATACGGAAGAAATTGGAAGCCGATCTTAAGGATGCTGAACAAGGATTACATCTCGCGAATAAGGTTAGAAGAAGGTTTATTACGTAGAAAAGCACGATGTGTGAAAATTTTGTATGCGATTTTCGTGATTTATGAGATATCTTGACGATTTTATTTATTTAGAATGATTACAAACTGTAGTTACAAATGTATCACAAAGCACGAATCGGATTCCAGGTGAAAGAGGACGCGGCGAAGCAGGTGAAAGAAGCTACAGCAGCAGCTGAAGGAGGCGGCGCGCGAGGCGGAGGAGGCGCGCGCCGGCCGCGAGGAGGCCGCGGCCGGCGCGCGGGACGCCGAGCGACGCGTCAAGGCGCTGGAGGCCGAGGCGCTGCAGCACGCCGAGGAGCTGGCCGCCGCCGACCGCGCGCGCCGACAGGCCGAGGCCGAGCGCGACGACCTGCTCGACGAGCTCAACAACTCCTCCGCCAAGGTACCCGCACGAACGATCCTATTACTCAACTATTTTTGCATTTAAAATATGTATATACAAATAATATAAGATTTTAAATTTACACTATCACCAAAAATCCCGTATACCCTTACCGTGCCGAAGTAACACTAGAATTTTTTTTTTTAGAGTACCTTACTGGTCGATGAGAAGAAACGCCTGGAGGCTCGGATAGCGGCCCTCGAGGAGGATCTCGACGAGGAGCAGTCGAACAACGAGATACTTAACGACAGGCTCCGAAAGGCTCAGGTATTGCTACACCTTATTTACATATCGATCTTAATAGACCAACGGTAAACAATGACTATTTATCCAAATACTTGGAATATACCAAGACCACTGTGATTTAAAAATAAAAGCTTTCCTCAGCAGGTTCAACAGTTTCTATATCTCGTAGAATCCTAGTAAGATACATGGAAAATCTTCCTCAATTAATATTCTATGGAACACAAAAACAAATATTTAAATCAGTTTAGTTCCAAGAATTAGAACATTCAAAACAAAAATTGAACAGTGAAACTGAAAACTCTTCAGTTTTATTAATTAGCGCATATTTACCAATTCATAAACAGAAAAATTGCCAAATACTCGATCATAAGCCTAAAATTTACAAACTACTGTTTTTCAAACATATATTTCGTTCGTAAATTGCATATTACAATTTTTCTATTATAAGTTACATCAAAACTACATATTATTGCATACATAAATTTCTAATTATTTATATTCCAGAACCAAATCGACCAAGTTACAATGGAGTTGGGTACGGAGAAGTCCGCCACACAGAAACTTGAGAGCGGTAAACTGGTGCTGGAACGACAGAATAAGGAGCTCAAGGCCAAACTCGCCGAGCTGGAGACTTCGGCCCGTACTAAGACTAAGGTATGATTGAGGAGAGCCTTTTGAAACTGTCACAATTTTTATTTCCTAAGGTTAATACAATGCAATGGTGCTAATACTGTTGCTCGAAAGCTCTCTAAACTAAACTAAAAATCACTAAAAAATTGTTTAGTTCAGTCAAACAACGTTTCCTATTCTGAAAACGTAATATTTGACAGGACAAAAATTATTTTTAGTGATTTTTAGTTTAGTTTAGAGAGTTTTCGAACACAGAATTAGCACCAATGTCACATTTTCATTAAATAATAAATGCATACTTCAAACAACAGTTACGATCAACCATTATAATGTTTGTTTCTCATAAATGAATATATTACCAGGGCCTGATAACGTCCTTGGAGCTTAAGGTGGCCAATTTAGAAGAGCAATTAGAAGCCGAGTCTCGAGAGCGCCTGGCGCAACAAAAGGCTTCGCGCAAGCTCGACAAGAAGATGAAGGAACTGGCGCTACAGCTCGACGAGGAGAGGAGGCACGCCGATCAGTACAAAGAGCAAATCGAAAAGGTATTGTAACTTCCAGAAAATAAAATTACAACGGTTGTGTGTACAATTATAAATGTAGCAATACTATCTTATTTAAATTAGGACATCTGAAACTGAACCATTTGCATGTATCGTAAAGCTTTTTTTTCTTAATAATTTCACACTTCTCACACACGGCCGTCTGATCCCAAACTAGGCAGAACCTGTACTATGATAATCAGACTGCTGATAAACATACTTATATATTTCTAAATACATACATAATACAGATAAATTACACCCAGACACAGAACAAACGATCGTGCTCATCACACAATATTTGTCCTGGGTGGGAATCGAACCCACGACCTCCGGCTTAGCAGTCAGGGTCACTTACCACTTGACCAACAGGCCCGTCTTTATTATTCTCTTAGTGTTATACAGCTGGCACGACTCATGTCAGAGGGAAATATTAAGAGTTCGCTGTCCGTGAACTAACAGTAGGTGTCCTATTATGTGCAGATGAACGTACGCGTGAAGGCGTTGAAGCGCCAGCTGGACGAGATGGAGGAGGAGGTGCAGCGCGAGAAGGTCGGCAAGCGCAAGGCGCAGCGCGAGCTCGAGGACCTGCTCGAGACGCACGAGACCATCACGCGCGAGTGCAACAACCTAAGGAACAAGCTCAGGTACACGGAAACTGCACCTGACAATTAAATGTAACACAGTTTATCCACAGATGAACAATGGGTGTTTTTAAATCTAAAACAGCGGTTCTATCACATTTTGTAACCTACCTAAAGCCTAATCAAATTTTATTTTGTTACCTTCAAAAAGCCGTTCAACATAAATAGGGGTCACCAGAAGCAATGTGTAAGTTTCGAGAATCTCTTGATATATGTCATCAGCACAAGTCCTGTAAAGGACGATCGTTCTTCCAGATGTGGCTTATATTTTTAAATAGAACTTACATATTGAAATAGTCCTGCTTTTTAGTATTACTAAACCGGCTAATTTAGCCGCATCTACAAGCTGTTAAGAATGTGAAAAACATTGTTCATAAAGATCCAAAAAAATTGTAGTCGTTACAGGTACTTTAGAAATATGATCACTGATCTCATTACGACATTCCAAAGAGTGTAGTTTTTATTTTTAGCCACAAACTTCAGAGGGAATTGTCCAGTAAGCCAGCGCTTACCACTGACGAAACTGATACTGAGTAAGGCGCAGAGAGAGGACCGAGGTACAGAGTGGAATAACTCTAGGGAGTTCAGTTTATCTGTGGAATTAGTACATGGGTTTATGTTTGGGGCTGGGCATTATCTGTCGCGAAGTCATTGTTATATTAGGTCTTTACCTATGAAATTGCCAATTTGAATGCAATAAGTGAAAGTACTTATTTTTTCAAACTTTTTTATTTCTGTTATTCGAAGTAATCACCCATGCAATCGACGCATCTTTGCCAACGCACTGGCAGTTTATTGATGCCCTTCTTGTAAAAATCAGCTGGACGGGAGGCAACAAACTCTTCAAAGGCATTTTGTACTGCCTCTCGGAAATTGAATTTTTTACCCATCAAATCAATAAACTGCCAATGCATTGGCAAAGATGCGTCGATTGCATGGGTGATTACTTCGAATAACAGAAATAAAAAAGTTTGAAAAAATAAGTACTTTCACTTATTGCATACAAAACGGCAATTTCATAGGTAAAGATCTAATATTATAAATTATTGAATTTCTGGAATAATAAGTTTATCTTCATTAGTTATTCCTTATTGTTTTAAGGAATAAGTAATATAGATGATTTTTTTAAACTAAACAAAAAATATGATTTCGTTACTATGACTTCCCGATGGAAAACATTACCAGCAATTAGAGTTGTAGCCATCAAATGTGTGCTTGCTTCACTCTCATCGAATAAACGAAATGGTTATGATATCATTGATCAAACAATTCCATTTTCATCATGAGGCTGTCTCACAAAAAATAACACTAGCAGTGTGTTAACAGCTCCAACGGTGAATCGAAACAGCGCTTTAGTATGTCGTTGCCGTTGAGCTGAATTCGCTTATTTGGAATAACATTTTTTGTGTCGTCCTTTTTTGAATAGAGAAAAGAATGTATTGATTGCTTTTTGTTATTTTTAAAGATAAAAACTTCGATGGTTTTAAATTTATGGTATCAATTCTGAATTTCTTAGTGCAATATTGGTATTTTATGCAGTGTAATTGTATTATAATGGGGCATTTTGTTGTTAAGTTATCTTGGGTATTGTCTCGTGTATACGTGGCAATGTTGATGTCGCCGACGGTAGTGTCTAGCGTATTCTAATAGACAAATTTCTCGGTATCTATGGGCACAATGCGAACAAATGTTTCCTATATTCTACCTTTTGTACCCACACTACAATGAGTTAAGTCGACTGTAGAACACAATAGCTAATGCAGTATGTGATGTGTTGGCTGCAGGCGGCAGGGCGGCGGCATCGGGCTGTCGGGCGCGACGTCGTCGTCTCGCATGAAGCGCACGTCGCTGGCGCCGGGCGGCGGCGGCTCGGGCGACGAGTCGTTCGACGACGTCAACGACACCACCAACTCCGTCGAGTAGCGGTGACGTCACCGCCGACCGCCGAGCCCCGGCACCGTGACGCGTTTCCGCTTCTGTTCTACACCGTTACGTCTCCCGTGCATGCGTCTCCAAAACTGTTATGTCACACTTGATTGAGTTTTAATTTTAGTGACTCCTCGACTTAGGATAAGTTTAAAAAATTATCGTTACCGTCTTCTCGTTTTCTGTATTCGAAGTACTTAATTATGGAACGCTCGGTCATATTGCCGTTTCGTGCGGCTCTCGTTAGGTTTCCGTGAGAGGTTACGGTCACGCGGCACGGTTCGGTTCGTCCGAGTGACGTGAGCTGTGATTCATAACGACCGAAGATCGTTTGTGAAACTTTACAAAATCATGATTGTAATATATTAAGAGGGCTTATAAGTCGATGTAGATCGAGCTGATGTACGGGAATAGCGAACAGCCGAAAATGAACGCATAGGCTTTTGTATCTAATAGTATACATTTTTTTTTTCATTGTATAATATGTACGTGAAATTTTATTGTCATTAAGAAATATTTTGAGTACATTTTTTAAGTTCGAGATGTATGAATATGTACACTAGTTCATATTACAATAGTTTAATTATAATGTAACGCATTAATGTTATAAATTTGTTGGTACAAGTAGTGGAGTAGCCACGTCGTATGCGCTATCGACATTGTGTACGCCTTCATACGTCTAGAACAACAACGCGGGTGCTCAATTTACACTAAAATAAAATGCATTTAAACAGTCGAATCTCTAAACACACAATAGCAATCGGTGATATATCCCTCCCAGTATTAAACTATACATTCCTAACAATCGAGATTTTCACTTTGCCCAGACAAAGTCAAACGGGTAGATTGTTAAATTACTCATTGGGTGATACTTGTAATGAAATTTAAAGAGTATTATTAAAATGTGGCAAAATATTGATATACTGTTTGAATACTGCATTGTAACGAAGACTGTTGCGATATTGACTCCCCCACGCCTCTCATTTATACCAACTTTACCGTTTACTGATTATTTCTATGAATGATTACGTGTGCCAGACGCGCTTAACCCTCACTGTCATAAATACAATGTCTCTGAAATTATTTTTACTAGAACCTTCCTTTTCAGTAGTTGAGCGTGTCCGGCCCGTTTCATTGTCTACTATACATGTAAATATAATCAGTGGGTGTCACTGAGCGCTTAGTTGCCATACAAATTTTATTAATAGTTGATAAGTGAGAAACACGCGAGCTTTTGATGTGATGACATGTTACGGCGCATTCGTCTGTTGTTATGGCTCAGCCTCGTGTTCCATATGGCTCAGTTATATCGAGCACACAATATCAAAACACTTAGTGATAATTGGACGAGTAAATAGAGGCACAAGAGTATGCGCCGGGCCATGTCAGTGTTATACAATATGTCCGCACCATCTTCTGAACATACCATCTAATGTAAATACCTGCCGCAGGTGCAGTGATGTAAGTTATCGCCACAAATACAAGCGGTATTCTAGCTGCGAGCGAGACGCGAGCTCGCGCCTTGCTTTTATACAATTAAATAAGACTCGTAGTAATAAATTGTGGCCTTAAGTTTTCTTTATCGACTTATACGTAAATAGATCGAAATTAGTCTCTTGTAACAGAGGTCTAACTTGTATCTTGCGAGCATTTTTTTATTATTATTTACCAGTCTTCATGACCATTTTTTTATTCATTATTATAGTTTTTCCGAATAATAATATAAAATTTAAATGTAAGTAAACATTGAAGCATAAACTTATTTTACATAAATATTATATTTAATTATTAACAATATTGATAATTGTAAAATTGGCCATAGGTTGTAACGAGTTATCAGTTGGTATGCCAATTAAACAATTTTTCATGATTTTTAAATCTTTGGTTTTATTTCTGAACACCCTATTGTGCTTTTATCATCAGCATCAGACAGTAAAAACTAGAAATGGTAAGTGATTATTTCGCCGTCCATGAATGCTTGCAACTCAGGAGTCAAGAGGGCGTTGCCGGCCTTTGAGAAAGGAGTACGCTCTTTTCTTGAAGGTTTAAATGTTAGTTAATCCTATAGTAGGTTTAACTAAAAATCAAGAACTTAAAGGGCATACGTGATACGATTTATCGATTAAATGTGTCGCGAGCTGCCAGTCAATATAACGTCACGTTACAATAAAAAAGGACAGAGCATCAAAGAAAAATTGGTATTAAATATAATAAATTGTTATGAATGCGGGATATCCATACCGGAGCCGTGAATATGATAGCCTCGCGATCACAAAATTGGTGTCGGTCCGGGAGAGAGATGCACGCCAATAGCTAGTTAGTCCACCTAGTACCTAGTTAATGAATTATTCCTTGAAATTGTAATCTACAGTTACAAATGGTTGTTCCGAAATCGTACTTTGAGCACTCTTTTATTAATAAATTGAACAAACTTATTATTGTAAGAACCGTGCTTAACAGTTGATTAATATAAACTCGATTGAAAATGGAATGTAGAAGTGACTTTAGTTTATGACATGAAAAAAAGGTCACTGGTAAAAGAACTAGATAATATGTGTCATTATTCAAGTAAATGTGTAACAAAAATGTTAAAATAAAGCGTAAAATACATAAAATTCCTTTTTATCTTACATTATATTCTTACATATATATTAAAGTTGACTTATACGTACCAATCATAAAGAGTCCTTCAAATTTCTTACAGCTTTGCTTTGACCAGTTAGATTCACCAGAGTAGGTCACATTTAAAAAAATATATGTATATACGTTGGTGATTTTGAAACAGCATAATTCGTGCATTTTGTAAAACACGCTCATGATCCAATTGCGCGGTTACTAATTAAAATGAAAATTTTAATTTTCCATAGAGCAATTTAAACCCATTTACCGCCAAATAAAATCTTCGTGAACCAAGGAGGTTCATAAGAAAACATTTCATACTTAACCATTCATATTTATAAAAAGGAGCTCAGTGCTTATTTAGTCATAATCACTGTATTCACTGCAGTGAAATCTTTTTTTAGTCTAAAACTTATTTAACATCGATTTTTTTTCTATGAAAAATAGCAGGATTTACTGATATACCTACTATACTTTTTTTTTATCGAAATAACCTTTGGCCCCATTAAACTTACCTACCCATCTATTTTTTAAAAACCCCAATAAACTTACTTTTAAAATAAAAAGCGATTGACAAGACAGTGATTTTTTTTACTTTACAGAAAACTATATACTACTTAGTTCGGCTAGTACAAACAAAAGCTGTTTTTTTTTAGTTTTTTTTAACTATATCATTGAGTTAAAACAACACTAGAGAAGCAAACCTCATTATCACACGTCGAAAAAAGTGTAACCACTTTTGAACTTTGACGACGTAGCTTTGATACCACTAAACATTTGAAAGTAAACATATTTATGTCTCATTTACACGCGAGACAAGAACAATACCATCGCTCGGATTAGACAAAGACAAAGACATAACTTTACGATGGTGGGCCAGTGTTGACTACCGTATGAAATTTTACCCATAACAACCAAGAAACAATTTTTTTTTTAAACAATTTTGTAATAAAATAAATTAATTTAAATATTTTAAATAATATATTTCGAATTGAATGGAATAGGTATAAATAATAAAATAACTGAAAGTATTTGGTTAAAAGGGTTTATATTCAGTGTAAAATCAAACTCCGCTATGAAGCATCAGTTTTGTATACAATTGTCTTTTAGACTCTTTTTTATAAGTTTGTGTGGATATTTTACTTTCATGATACAATCTTATTTTTACGTATGTATAAATAATGGCATTTAATAATAAAAGTGAATGATCAACTTGTATTGATAATAAATAATCCCCAGGGTGTATTGCAAATTCTTTTAATATTTTAAAATACAAATAAAAAAAAATATAGATATGTATATATTTTCTTTTTTATATTTTTTTATTTATATTTATTTACTTTTTTATTTTATATTTATTTTTGATTGTACAATTATTATTTATAATTGATAATTAATTAAGAAAAATGAATGAATGAATGAATTAATTCTTTTGTACAAAAGTCTCCAGCACTGCGAGCTTGGCAGAAGGTGAACGTTCAACGGGTCCCTAAAAAAAGTGATCGGTCCAGCCCTAACAACTACCTTTCTTCCTATATTTTATTATTATTGGCAAAATGTTTAAAAACAGTATAAAGCATATTATTTCATAAATTATAAATTCTCCTACTAATGTGGGAAAACCAAAATGATTTTTTAATGGTAACACTGATTCTAAATTACAATTATCAAAGTTTTATTTCAATTATAGCCTTATTTACGATATTATCAATACAAAAACCATAAACTTACACGTGATAAGTAATTCCGCATGATTTATTATGGTTTTGTGACCTTGAATCGCATTCTTTCACTACGCATTTACCCATTTTGGCGATTATTACTGTCATGTGTCGCCATGTTCAACTCGGTAGACGCCACATTGAACACTGAATTGACGTTTGCTACGCATATGGCTGTGGACAGATGTGCAGTAGCAACGACTTTAGGCGGTAATTACTCATCTATGTAAGTATTATATCAATGAACTATATATATAAAATAATAATAATAATCTCTATAGTCAGTATCTTAGACCCATAAAAATTGTTACACATTTATAAATTTTAAAGAAAGTTGAAAATAAAGATAAAAAATACAAGACTAATATACAGCTTACTTAAATGGAATCGAGCCTAGCAGTTATCATAGCCAGACTTTAACTTATTTATAGCTGTGTTGCTTTAAATTAAGTACCCAGTACTGTAAGTACCTAAGTACAAAAACCAAATCTCCATCCATCTCTCTTGTTACCTGTATATATGTAGTTGGCTTGAACTAATCATATAAGGATCCTATGCTAGCGTCTAACCTTATATTTTCTGTACGAAATAATCAAAAAACTAAATTTGATTCACTTGCGATGTTTTATACATTGGATGCTTTCTCATTATACTAAAGAATAGACCCGTAGGTAGCTTCTTTGCAAGCCTAACCTTAAAATATATTCTTGTACAGGTATGGCGATGAATAAACCTTAATTGTGGTTTTTAAACGTTTTTTCTTTTTCATGTAATGAAATCTATTACAATTCACTGAATGTACTGAATTGTATTTGTATGGGTGTGATAGTTGAATCTGAAGGAATAGAGCTTTCAGATTCAACAAAACTCAGATCTCTGTCTGCCACTGAAACCTACAAGTATCTGGAAATACCAGAATCTAACATGAAACAAACATTACAGGAACGCTTTTTTGGCCGCTTGAAAAAAGTATTTAAAAGTCTTTTATCAGGGGGCAACAAGGTGCGAGCCTGCAATCGTTGGGTCATGCCGGTTCTGATGTATTCCTTTGGTATACTTAGATGGACTCAGACCGAATTAGATGCCCTTGACAGGAAAGTCCGCACACTGCTGACTGCATCCCGAATGCACCACCCACGTTCATCGGTTATGAGATTGTATATCCCGCGAAAGTTTGGGGGTCGCGGACTATTACATATCAAGACCCTACATAATCGCGAGATATGCAATCTCAGAGAATATTTTCTTCATACTGATGTGGGAGTGCATCGCAATGTAGTTGCAGTGGATACCGGATTCACCCCGCTCGCTCTGGCTAAAGAGAATTGGCGCAAACCTGTAGTACTTAGTGTTAATGATCGCAGGGAAGTATGGAAGGGCAAAGAGCTCCATGGTCAGTTTTATGGGGCCCTAAACGGGTCCGATATAGATTTAAAAGCATCTACGACTTGAGTACGGTATGGTGATCTTTTCGGAGAAACTGAAGGATTATGGACGAAGTTATCATGACGAATAACTATCGGAAATATATCCTGAGAGATGGTACGGTTGACATCTGTCGGGCATGCCACCGTCCTGGCAAATCAATCAGGCATATTATTTCTGGTTGTTCTCGTCTTGCTAACGGCGAATATTTGCAGAGGCACAACCAAGTGGCCAGGATCGTACACCAACAGCTTGCTCTTAAATACCATCTTGTGAATCTAGAGGTGCCATACTACAGGTATGTGCCCGACCCAGTTCTCGAGAATGGTCGGGCCACGTTGTATTGGGATCGATCTATTATCACAGACAGGACTATAGTTGACAATAAGCTAGATATTGTGGTGATAGATCGATTAGAGCGCCGCGCAATTATTGTTAATATCGCCGTTCCTCATGACGAGAATCTCGTGAAAGTTGAAAAAGAAAAACAAATCAAATATTTGGATTTATCTCACGAGATTGTCGATATGTGGACTGTTGATTCAGTGATCATTGTTCCGATAGTCGTATCTGCTCACGGATTGATAGCCAAGAGCCTCAACCAACACCTTAAGAGGCTCACGTTGGACGGCTGGATCAAGGGTCTGATGCAGAAGGCAGTCCTCCTTGACACAGCTCGTATAGTGAGGAGGTTCCTATCTTTGGAGTCCTAACCACCGGTGTCTTGGTCCCTGTACCCGATGTCGGTGGTCTACTATTTTTTATATTTTTAAATGTATTTTTTTATAAAGTGTATGTTTAAAAATGTAAATAATATGGATATAAAGTAAATAAACAGAATAATAATAAATAAGTAGCAAAGATTATGTAAATCAGTCACAGGTATACTGATAGGATTTATAAATCATATTTTATCACATGTGATTGTGATTTTATGACATCCCTAACTCCTTCATATTTGATTTGACAGTGACGGTTAAAGTCAGATAACTCAGACAGTATGACACTGAGTGTGACATTTGATAGTCAATATTACTAAGATTAGCTTAGTTAACTTAGCAGATCAGTGTGCAGTGCATTGAGGCCGGTCAAGCAGGCCAGTTAGCTAGTAAGTAACAGATAACAATAATATGCTCTTCGTTTAATGAAATTAAATAAGTTACCTATCAACATTTTGTTTCAAGTCTTTAAACAATTTTCCAATCGCTGTAGTTGCGCCCTTGAAGTTCATTCGAGGTCATTTAAAATGAACTCGATAGATGAATACTTCGATGCCGCTTTAGCTTTGGTGAAAATTTCTGGAAACCTTATAACCGAACACGTAAATGGCTGCAAAGTTTTTGAAAAGAAATCTTCTGATATTGACCTGGTTACTGAAATCGATAAAAAAGTGGAGCAGACGCTCATCGAAGGTTTGACAAAGAAGTTCCCTGGACATAAATTTATAGGTGAAGAGTCCGTTGCTGACGGAGCTAAATGTGAATTGACGGATTCTCCCACATGGATTATAGACCCGGTAGATGGAACGCTAAACTTTATTCACGGATTTCCTCACTGCTGCATATCAGTAGGCCTTGCTATCAATAAGGAATGTGTTGCTGGTATCATTTATAATCCTAATTTACAACAACTATTCACAGCCAAAAAAGGTCAGGGAGCATTTCTTAATGACAGAAAAATACATGTTTCTAATGTCACAGAGCTTCGCAATGCGTTAGTGGCATTTGAATGTGGAACTAGTCGGGATGCAGATAAGTGTGCCGTAGTCTTTGAAAATTATAAGCAAATAGTTGCGAAAGGCCATGGGATGAGGTCTCTTGGTTCGGCTGCACTGAATATGGCTATGGTAGCTATGGGCGGAGCTGATGCTAACTTTGAATTTGGCATACATGCATGGGATATTGCTGCTGGTGATATTTTAGTCCGTGAAGCAGGAGGAGTCTGCTTAGATCCTTCAGGATCTCCATTAGACCTGTTGTCTCGCAGAGTACTCTGTGCTAGTACACCTGAACTTGCCAAAGAGATATCGAAAACTATAGTACAATATTATCCTGAGAGAGATTAAATAAAAAATATTGTTTTAATAAATAATTATTTATTAAATTTTCATATTATATTGATGTTGTTTGTGATAATCAACCAAGTAAAGTGTATGCATTGTATATCTCTATACAATTTTTTGCGGTTTTCATATTATTATATGACATTCTTATAATTAAAGTATGTAAATGTAAACTTAATGTGTACTTAAATGAATATTTGTACAGGAAGACAGTTGTGTAATGTAATAGCATAAAATAATAACTAGGTTTTGATTCAGAGACTTAACAAAGAGGTTTGTTTTGTAAAACAATGTGTATTGGAAAGGTAATATTGACTATACTAGTATGTACTTTTTGTCATGTGTTTTCGAACAGTAATAATAATCTTGTATTGCTAATCTTTGTTTGTGTGACTTAAAGTTTATGTTTGAATGTGTTCAGTCATTTTGAATCTATGTTGTATTGTTCGTTTCAGTAGGATTTAATGATTCAGAGACTTAACAAAGAGGTTTGTTTTGTAAAACAATGTGTATTGGAAAGGTAATATTGACTATACTAGTATGTACTTTTTGTCATGTGTTTTCGAACAGTAATAATAATCTTGTATTGCTAATCTTTGTTTGTGTGACTTAAAGTTTATGTTTGAATGTGTTCAGTCATTTTGAATCTATGTTGTATTGTTCGTTTCAGTAGGATTTAATGTCCATTATGTCCCTTAGTAATAAAGTCCAGAATGGATAATGTAATAAAACAAGTAAAATTTATAATTGTACATATTTATTCACTGTAAATAGGTATGTGGCTTGGCTTTCAAACAATTTTAAGGAAAGAATAACTTTATATCTTGATTAGGAAAACATACTTTAAATAGTATACACCTATATTACTAAATGTAAACAATTTATAAATGGTATAAAAATGTTCTACTTATAAATGTTACAACGTGCCTAACGTACCTAGTGAAATAATGTGATGTACCTACCTATTTAAAAATAAAATCTATTTATTTATGATTTTTGTTTTTATAGTTACAATTGGCATGAGTTAAACAAGGGTCATAACAAAGAGTTTACTAATTGAAAACTTTATTTTATATTTTCATGAGATTATTGTTTTAAATTAGCAACATGAACAATGTTACTAATTTAAAACAATAATAGGCATCTTTAAGTTACAGACCATATTAAAAACAAGGTTTTCAAAGAATTAGTAGTAGTACATACATAGCTATATTAATTTTCAACGGTTGGTCACATTAGGTTTCAAAATGGCGTTACATTATGTACCTACCTTTTTACTAACAGTATTAATTAAATATGCATTTATGTTTATGTAACTTTAATATTATAATTAAACAGTCTTTAGTCAAGTATATTTATTGTAACTACTTAGTCGTGTTTCGTCATTGTCACACAAGATCTGTTAATCCAAAGTATTCTGCAGTTATATAAATGTCTATGGTTATAGTCTATAGTTAGTCAGTTTAAGTCAACTTCCAGTTTAACTTTTGTGGAGCTATCTACTACAATTTCGTCCATGTCATGTCAGATTGAGTCAGATGTAAGTATAGTTACAGAAATCCAATATCTGTTAAAAGTCGTCATGGCCAGGAGACATTTAAAGCAATTTTGCCTTCTTTTGAGTTCACCTACGTCTTAAGTCATTTGTGTCTTGTTCTTAATAATTATCACATGTATGCTAAAAGTCCAACGTCTTTAGTTCTACAACGATCAGTCTCTACAAGCTTGTCAAATCGAGAATGTCACAGTCAGTCAGTTTCTTGTTAATACTGTTAAAAAATCCAAGTCTTTGTAATAAAATGTCATTCAGTTTATATTTCGTCAATTCGTTCAGTCACCAGTTCAGTCGTTCAGTCTTCAAGTCGTCATACTCGTCTACGATAAAAATGTTTACCTTACCTAGTCATGTCATGTCAAGTCTGTGTCAGTCACACGTTTATGTCCTAATTTTATTAAGATGTCAGTACTTAGCAGATTATATATTGCCTATAAAAGTCATATAGTCTTGAGAGTCGAACATATCAGTCAGTCATGAAATTAGTCGCGTTCATATCGTTGTCAGTTTTTAAAATTCAGTCAAGTAAGAGTCGGCATGTCATGAAATCTTTTAATGTCGTCAGTTTTACTGTCAGTTTGTCAAGAGTTTAGTCAGTTAAGTCAATTTCTCTGTCAAAAGTCCTTCAGTTCTACATTGAGTAACCTTTCTAAAACTAAAACGAAAATTAGGTAAATTATTGTTAGGCCAATGTCAGTCATTGATTTTATATCACTTATTCTGTCGGTCTGTCCTTTAAGTCAATCATGTCAGATTCATGTCATTTGATGTCAAGTCAGTATCACCAATTGAAACTACCTTATTATCCCGTATTGCAGCTAGCTTCTTTAGCATTAGGGCTTTTCTTTTTGAATGTTGATATAATAACAAGGCAAAATTCTCCCACTTAATGCTAATGAATTCTGTGGCTGCAATAAAGGTAACGTTACATTTCTATTACTTTTACATCCGAGTTAGGTGTACAAGTTTAAAATCACTGTCTGCCTAACGTTGGTTTCCGTCTCCTAAAATGATTAAATATTATGGGCCTCGGAATTTCCCTTAAAGAGCAAGGGTCAGTCTTCATAATTGGCATTTTGTGCTGTTCAGGCAAGTCCGTGTTTTCTTCATAAACTGCCCATTGCGATGGACTGTAAAGGAAATACATTTCTACTTAATAAGATACATATACTTAAAAGATAAGAATTGAATGAGGGTATAGACAAGCAAGAAATTAAAAATAATAAAATAAATGAGTTTATTACCTGATCTCGCTAGGAATAACATCGAAAGCTACAGATGGAGTCTTTGCATTGCTGGATGACTTCACTTTCACTCTATTCCTGTGACGTTCCTGATTCTTACGCTTCATCTCCATATCTTCTAACGATGTCATTTTATCTACTGAAGACCTTTCTTCTATAACCGTATCAGGGGTCCCAGGGTTATTGTAATTTTCCTTCAAAATCTCCTGCTTTTCATTTTTTGTTTCATTCTTGATATCTTTTTTTTCGGAGGCTGAGTATTTGTGTAAAACATTTCTTATATAATAGTATTTGTTTGTCTGTACAGGTGCTTCGTCATTACGTCTTGTAGGTCTCTGTAGGTAAGGTTTGGTGGCAGTGTCGTATAAGAAAAAAGTCGATAACTTCATATTGTTGTCAGTCTTGTCAGTCGAGAAGTCTTTACTTATAGTCTCAGTTACATGTCTTTCAGTTACTTCTTTATGTGTTTCTTCTATCGGTTTTTCAGTTGTAGGTGAATTACCTTTATAAGTGCCTACATAACCGAAAGTCACAAGTTTGTATAAGTCAGTTGTGTTTTCATCTGTCATGTCAGGTTTATTTGTCGCCTTGTTTTGCTGAGTTACAGTTTCGTCGTTAGATCTAGCAGATGAATGATAGTTATATCTAGTCGTGTAACTTGGTCTATTACTATACCTGTAGTTTAGGTCCTCGTGTCTGTTATTATAGTAGTAAGGTTTATTTGGTCGTCGGTAAGTATCATCATAAGTTTGATAGGTCACTTTTACAACGTCTCTATCTCGTATAGGAGTCTGAGTTGGTCTTCTAGTCGGTTGTCGCCAAGATTCTGTAGGTCTTGGTACATAGTTAATTAAATAGGTATATTTGTCAATATTTTCTGTCACTGTAATTACTGGTCTTTGACTGTAAGGCCTTTTATGAACAACATTGTTTACAACTACAGATTGTACCTGTTGAGTCTCTTCATCGTCATAGTCGTAGTCGTCAAATTTGTTAGGTCTATGTCTAGAGTCAACAGTTAGGTCATTTACTAGTCTACTTTTATTTTTAAAGTCGAGTTTGTCATCTATTTGTACTTGTTGTCTAGTCGTGTCAGGTTTAGTAGTCATGTCAAGGTCGGCCGTTGCGTCTTCTTTTCCTATATTGATAGGTGAAGAAGTAATGTCACTCAATTTCAGATTAAGTTCGTCATCGTCTTTGGATATTTTTGTTTTGTCAATTTTGTTAGTCAAAGTGTCCTTTGTGATGTCTTTGTTAGCAATAGTAAGATTGTTATTTGGATTCTTTTGAGTAAGCTTGCTAGCACCTTTATGTAAAGTCTTTTTAGTAGTAGTTGTGGGTCTTGAAGTAGTAGATTTTATTTTAGGTTTTGGTGTAGTAGATTTTTCTCCGGATTTGTTTATGTCATTGTCAGAGTCAGAATTTATTTCAACCCAAGGAGACAAATGAAAGTTATTGAGCAATTTGTTTTGGCAAGAGATCCTGTCATTATCAGGATTGTTAGAGGAAAGAAAGACGAAAGGCTGGACGGTTTCGATGCTATCCAGGGTACGACAGAGAACTTGTGCAAAAGAAATACGACGAATCTGCTGTAGTTGTGCTGGAGTTAATGATGAATCAAAGCCTCCGTTTTCATACCTGAAAATATTTTACCGTTTTTATGAATTATTTCTTGACCATATTATATAATTTATATAATTTTGCATATCACACGTGGAGTTGGATACCTAAATATAATTAATAACATGCTTACTAAATATTTATCTGTAAGTTCAAATTACAGAGTAATCCTGAACTACCCTGTTCTTTTTACTTCAGATATTTTAATGATAAATGCTTCTTACCAAAACCGATCGCCCTTCCTTAAGTTAGAGAACTGCTGTGCAATAATACAAGCAAATGTTGGGCCAACAAGTCCACCCACCACTGGTCTCTCAGCCATGCCCGCGGTGAACAGGTCTATATCGTCTACGTGTCTGAAAAATCCATTTATAAGTCTTAAGGATCAAGAAAAAATTGGGACATATTATTAATCCAACATCTTATTTGCTCAATGTGAGTTAGACACTCCTCAAATTTAAAATAACGGCTTATGCATTCACTCACTTGTACAGTGCCCTTATTTTCCTCACAGATCGCGCCGGCATAACTCTGAATAAGTCATCAAAATCTTCAATGACCGACAACCCACAAGGTTCCCTCCATGACGTATACGGTGGAATTCCGTGGTCTCTCCCTCTTTGAATGTTGATTGCTGCAAGATCCATGCCGAAATCGAACTGGGGTGTTTGAAACAGGTGGTTTGTCAGTTCTTCTGTAATAAACTCATCCCGATTCTGTATGGGTTGGTTTAGCATGCCGAAGAGCAGACGATCCACTGCGCCGATGCTCCAGATATTTGAAGGGTTTGTGAGTTCCATGTGGAGGGTAACGTCTAAAAAACGGAGTGGTCAGTAAGATTTTGGTGAAAATATACAAGTCGTGTCTGTTGAGATGCCAATTTTAATCGTTTGACTTATATAATTTTGATGAAATCAGAACAATAGACGATTCGGAATAAAAAGAATATATGCGTTTCGTACAACGTCAGTTATATTTACATAATATAATAAATTGGTTTTATATTCCACGAGAGTATGCAGATGGCAATTGCTAATATAGCGCCCGTCAAAGAGATTCCAGTGATTCTTGTTATACAATGGCAAACTAAAGCTATTTAGTTATTCTGTGAACCACTAGGTATATAATAATTAAAGCCATGTATGATTTTTTGTTCACTATTCATAACTATTGTCTCACGTTATTGTCATTTGTTACAATTCCAGTACCATGTTCTAATAAAGCGGAACAAGGCGTGGAAATCGTATTTCTTTACTATTATATAAAATAAGGGTTCTTTTCAAGTCCATTGTTATATACGAGGTAAGCCTTTTTTCGTTGGATACCATTCGGAAGTTGTGTCATATTAAGCAGCGTCCACACTATGCCGGGCGAGGCCGAGCGGGCTGACCCGGGCGGCCTAAGCCGGGTTGGTGTGGACGCCCCGGGCGGCTTAAAAAGCCGGCCCGAGCCGAGCCGATCCCAACCCGCAGAAAGTAGGTACAGATCAAAGGATGCCGGCCCGAGCCGAACGAAAATATGTAGTGGGGACGTGCCGAGCGGCACCGGGCGGCTTTAGTTGTCCAGTCTTGGTGTCGAATTGAAACTAATAGGTAGATATAACCCGGGCGGCCTCGTTTTCGGTGTGGACGTCGTGCCGGCCCGAACGAACCCGCCCGGCTTAGGCCGCCCGGGTCAGCCCGCCCGGCCTCGCCCGGCATACTCCGGCATAGTGTGGACGCTGCTTTATATATCTATTCAATACTAGCTTTTGAACACAGTTTGACTCGCGTTAATTTTATTTTTGTCTACTAACAAACGAACGAGGATTATGTCCGTGTGGTGACGGATTAAGAATACAGAGTGTCACCACCCCTATTCATCCCGTGGGTGTCCTAAGAGACGACTAAGGGAGCAAACTACGCAGGACAACAGCACTGCAGAGAGAAGGAAAACTTGACACACACCCTATACCAACCCGTCTGGCCAGCGTGGTATAGTAGGCCAAAACCTCCTTTCTAAGGAGAGGCCTATGTCCAGCAGTGGACTAGTAAAGGCTGTTAATGATGATGAACAAACGAACAAACAAACTACATGTTAAAGGATTAGGATTTACATAATTTCTACTATTTAATGGCTAGACTTTAGTCCTTAATTTAAAATATTTCTTATTATTTAATAACTGATACGACAGACGTGGTCCTGACAAAATTGAAATGATTTAGTTCTTGCAAATCTCTACCTCAATTTAGCCAATTTCTAGATCAAAGCCGAATTTTAAATTAAGTTCGTTTCAAATTTGACTCTACAGTGCTGCTGCGTCGAATTTAAATAGTGAATACCACTGCTGGTAGGCCTGATCCCAAGCACATTACTTTTTAGTAATAAACATAGCAACTCACTATTTTTCATAGGTCGATGAAACTTGTCAAACCGCACTAAGGAAGACTGCACGAGGCTGTGCCCGAACCTGAAGGCCGCTGAGCTGAATGAGCTGGCAGGACTGGGGTTGATTTTGGGGCTGTAACCCTTGTAGTAACCTTTCTTCTGTAGTTCTAGCTCGAAACGGCGGATTACTTCATTACCTGAGAAAGCGTACTTATAGGTGATAAGGTCATTTTTAAGATTATTCATACGACGGGCCTGTTGTGTGATCAGCACGATAATTGGTTCTGTATATGGGTTTTATTTATTTATAATGTGCATGTGTTTAGAAATATAAGTTTATTTATCAGCAGTTTGGTTACCATAGCACAGGCTCTGCCTATTTGGTGATCTCAGACGGTCTCAGATGGCCGTGTGTGAGATGTGTAAGGCTATTGTTATTATGTTCTGTGAGTTAGCAAAAATCCAAATACGTGTATAAATACAATTATCCGTAGCCGGAAACGCGATTCCGTGAATGTGTAAAAAGAACAGCCTGCGTCTATTTTTCCAGACAATTATAACTCTGGAACGTGAGTAGAGCGAGGAAGCTCCTCTCGAATGAGTGTGTAGCATGTATGTCGTCATCGTCCTTTTACATCAGGTAAATTGAAAGATCCGTGTGGTGACAGATTAAGAATACAGAGTGTCACCACCCCTATTCATCCCGTGGACGTGTAAGAGGCGACTAAGGAAGCAAACTACGCAGGACGACAGCACTGCAGAGAGAAGAAAAACTTGACACTAACCCTACACCAACCCGTCTGGCCAGCGTGGTACAGTAGGCCAAAACCTTCTTTCTAAGAAAATGTCCAGCAGTGGACTAGTAAAGGCTGTTAATGATGATGATAAAGTTAAAAGATAATCTATTCCATTTAAAAAGAAATGGTGAGACTATATTATTACTTATCTATTTAGCGGTACTTTAATGTTTTTTAATTGAAACTGTGCAAAACAAATGTCGTACCTAACACAATGGGTAGGAACTCTCTGTATGTAATGTGTTGTATCATGGCACCGACGATCTTCCGCGTCTCCTGGTAAATTTTCTCATCACTCCAATGGGGGTTTAGGTGAGCCAGCTCTTGTGCCATCCTAAAAAATATAGATTAAGGGATGTGTACTTTGGATCGGAAAGAAAGTACCTACTATAGAAGCTTTTATCTTTAGAAATTTATATGGCCTATTGGGGACCTTTAACTAAATTCACTATAAGTTTTGGATAGTCTGTGAAGAAAACGTCAGCAAGTGTATTTTATAATTTTAGACAGACATGATGTTCTTTGTAAAAAATACTGGATTGGGTTTCAATTCCTCTGAATTACTTTATTGTAATTATACAGTTTTAAGTTCACGGGGTAATCCGGACGGTTCGATAAATTCGGAGCCCGACCGGATTCTTACCGGAGCTCAACCTGTAACTTGTGACTCTTGAGTTCCAGGTATACATTGGCGACGGTAATCACTTACCATCAGCTGACCCGTCCGCTACTTTTTCCTTCTAAACTATAAGAAAAACTCAAGAATTGATCTAAGATCGTAAGTACAGTATGTTTATACTACTTTAATAGTAAGTAATTTATATTAATGAGGTATTTGGAGTAGCATGAATAAACAAGTTCTACTTCTTAGAAGATCTATTCCTGAAACTGTATTAAACTAGCCCGTTGACTCTTCGATTTTACCTGTTGTGCTGCCTCATCCAGACTATATGTGCCGCTACAAGCCCTGGATGCTCATTGACCCTCGCATCTCCAGACTTGAAACAGTCAGTGGAGACGGCACCGCCTCGACAGAGCTCATCGCTATGTTCTGGAGGCAGGACTGGGCGATTTTGTTGGAGTCTTCCGTATTGTAACATGCCTAGAAAATATTTAGAGTATAAAGAGTATTCCAGAGGAGAGATTTTTAGACCTTGAATATATTTTGTCTAAAATTTGACGGAAACCTCCAAGATAAGTATTTATATTAACATTGGTAGTGGATTACAGGCTAATAGTTTAATATACGATATTATTTTCTAAGTAATAAAATTTGATTGGCCGGGTCAAATCCTAATTTATCGTCACCATGTCTCTTACCCTCATATAAATCTGAAAAGTTTTCCTGTTTACTTTGATATTTTTTAGTTAATTGGCCGTTTCATTTTAGCCTGCATTTACAGTCACTACTCGATTTTAAGAAGGACGCTGTATAGCCTTCTACCATCCTCAATGACAATACAAAGCAATACGAATATTTTAAATCGATTAGATTTGGAATTATGTAACTTTATCAAATTAACTTAAAAAGACTTACCATTCCTGAACAATCTCAGCTTATCAGACTTTGTAGCGGAGTTTCCATATAGTGGAGATCCGTCTATGTATGAAGAAACCTGATTGAATTGTTCCCGCCATCCCAAGGCACAATCGTCGCGCGAAGCGGGAGCAGACCGCACAAAGTCCAGGCAACGTATCCCTTTGGGGCCGTAGAACGGGTCACTTTTTGGCACCGTGATTGGGAGGCATTCTGGATGCTGGGACATTATAATATACTATTAAATCTCCTATTAATATTGCACTAGTCGTTTCCCTTTGACTTGGTTTTAAAATTCTTATTATTGGTTTAGGAGTTAAACCGTGAAAGTGTAAGAAATTGACAAACTCACATTTACATTTAAAAATAGTATTTGAAATTTACTAAACAGATTGATTGTTTTCGCAGTGTTAGGTAACTTACTAGTAACTCTTTTGGTACAAAGTCTCTTCCTCCATCCTTGCAGCATCTCGGTACTGAACCATTGAACCCTCTGGACTGAGAAGAAGAAGTCATGTCATGGTCTAGGAATTGTCCCCACTGCATCAACAAGTGTGTCACTCCTGTGCTCTCAGCATTTTTAGCCTCATGGATTGCAGAACTTATCTCTCGTGCTGAAGGGAGCTTACCCCCGAATACTGAACGTCTTGGAGCTTGTATTCCGTCATAGTAGGAAGGTGGTAGGAAACGCTGGACGGGAGTCATGGTGGATCCCCAGCGTGAACGCTTAATATTGTTGCATGTGCCATCGTGGGTGCGATACCTGCAAAGAAGAAGTGTTTTTAGATGCTTAAAGATGCTTGTAGATGCTTGTAGATAGTAATAAAAATCAGGTAAAATTTGCAATTTATCCGATAATAAAAGGAAGCTTAAGAAAGTAGTACCTTTAAAGTTAGGCTATGTGGTAGAAATGGGCGTGCCACAAGGTTCTATTCTCGGCCCTTTCTTGTTTTTAGTATACATTAACGACTTACCTCACCTTGTCAAGGACAATCTCGAGATTGTTTTCAGTGTTGTTTTCAGATGATACATCACTATTATATAGACTAAAACAGACACTTACTAATTTTACAGACGTAAACAGCGCCATTTCGAAAGTCGTTCATTGGTTTGACGTCAACAATTTGCTTTTAAATTAACAAAAAACTAAGTGTATACGTTTCACTATGCCAAACGTCAAGCCAGGGAAAACTACTGTGATGACTAGGGATGTCGGTTGGACCTTGTGGACACTTTTAGGTACATTTTTAGGTATAACACTAGATTATAAGCTACAGCGGGGCCCACATATTGATAAATTATCGAGTAGACTCAGCTTAGCAGCATACGCAGTAAGAAAAATTCGAGATTTAACTGATGTTCATACAGCACGACTTGTTAACTTCAGTTATTTTCATAGCATAATTCCGTACGGGGGGGAAATGCTGCCGACATTCAAACTATTTTTGTATCGCAAAATTCGAGATCTATGTAATTTAGGCAACCGTTTTAAGAAGAATCGAAATCGAAGAATTTAAAACAGCGGCGTAATGGCTAAGGCAAAGACGTGAACCCATTTTACAAACACATTTATTACACAAAACACATTATATATATATATATATATATTATAGACTAGCTGATACCTGCGACTTCGTTTGCGTGGAATTTGTAAAGCGCTGCCTTAGTGCAAATACCAAGTACCAATACAAAAACCGTGTGAGCATAAAAAAAACTAATATTTGGACATTACAAACAGACACTTCAATTTTATTTATTTGTATAGAAAAATTACACCCAGACAGGACAAATGATTGTGCTTATCCCACAATTATTTGTCCTGGGTGGGAATCGAACCCACGACCTTTGGCTTAGGATCACTAACCGGTAAACCAACAGGCCCATCAACATGAAAATTATATCAAGTTCCTTCAGAACCAGAAAAAAGCAAAAGTATCTGATATTTTTGTTACCGTTTGGATGCTGGTGTACATTTAGAAGCGCCTTTTTGTGGGCAGTTCTGCATTAGAGGCAACTCCTTTAGTGCACTTGCTGAGGGAAATGATGTGTCTTCTGTGCGGCCTTCCAGACCGTCGCCATGATTACTACTGAAACAAGAGATATATTATTGTTAATTGTGAATAAACGGTTGAGTTTTTTTTATTTTATTTAGAAAGACAACTTCCGCATTAGGAATATATCCTGTGTCGCGGAGGACTTTACAAACATACATGAGATGGACACAAAGAACACCCAGACTCAGAACAACAATTTGTGGATCACACAAAGTGTCGTCCCATGTGGGGATCGGACCCACAACACTCAGCGTAAGTAAGCGGCGTGGAGACCACTTTAACCACTACATCCGTGCAGTTTGGAATTCCTAACTAAAAGATAGATCTTATATTATTATCTTATAATAGAATACATTCATAATATTGTATTTTAGAACCAGTCAAGATTTTTAAGTTAAGATGACACGGACGTGGGCGTGTAAAACATATTTCTAGTCATTTATTTACCAAACATATTTTAACAATAATAAAAACACCAACGCCGTATCTTATTATCATATCTACCACTTACATAAAAGGCAAAGAAAAGAAAGTGAAAAGATTATGCAAATTTCGTTTCGAAAAATTTTAAGATCGATTCTTTGGTCCGGTGAAAGTGATTCATAAAAGTTAAGTTACATTTTGGACTTAAATGATTACCTCGCGGTTTCCTTGTTTCTTAAGTCATATGTTTATGTAATGTACGTTTTGGTATGGTCTTGAAGTGACAATGTTTGTTCTTTTAGTCTTTGGTAATACACAGCGGTAATGTGCGATTTGACGGCTGACTGGTGAAGACAATCGTGGGAGAGCTATATTTTATGTCGTATACCTCATGTAACCATTACGAGTATTATCTGTGACATATTATAGTTATGATTTGTGAGAGAAATGCCAATTAACTTGGTTATAACCGTATGTAAAAATACGATAGATATTTAACAAATAATTTCTTATATTTCTGTCTCGTGTCACAAGCATAAAACCTCCATTCGCCAGAAACATTTTATTTTTTAGCGTAAGAAATAAATTACTCATTTTGGACTAATATCATAGTTGGCAACCCTGGCCCACTACGAGCAGATAAACCTTGTGAAATAGGTAGGTATTAGCAAAATTAGTTTAAAATATTTTGTTAATAAAATCGCTATTCGCTTTATATCTTCATAACCTTGTGGACGAAAGGATTGGTAAAGACTCATCATTCTAATTTAAATTCTTGAAGGTCGGTTAGCAATAAGTAATTGAACATTACCTGTTATACTTACAAGAGATTTTAAATAAAATGAGGTACTAAAAACTTTACTGCTTTTGAACATAATGAGTTTAATTTTGAGTTGAGTTTTTTATTTATTCTGTATTATTATTTGTTTATCAGCAGTCTTATTACTATTATAGTAAAGTCTCTGTCTAGTTTTGGATCAAACTCCCGTGTGTGAGAAGGGTATTTTTTTTGGGTACAGAGGTCAAACGAGGAGACGGGTCACCTGATGGTAAGTGTTTACCGCCGGCCTATGAGTGCCCCCTCCTCCCAGAAAGGGGGTTGAGGGGTTTGGGCTCCGGTAACCTCACCCATTCGGTAAAAAGCCATGAAAGAAATGATTGGCACCAGTCTTCTGTGAGGCCGTGGTATCAATGCGGTCGAGTCAACCCATTTGTGCTGAAGTATGGCTCTTCTAGTTTGTTAACGATATTCTGATGATAAAACCATGACATGAATAATAAAACCATTTTTTTTAAGTGAAAACTTTAGTGAAAACAACAAACAAAATGTATTTTTTGTGGGAAAAAACCTAAAGTATCTACATTTATTGGCCCCGTTAACTATACAGAAACATATATTGTACATTTAAATACAACATAGATATACTTTCATATCGGAATTTTCTAATTTAAAAAAAAAATGTTACCTGTTATAATAATAAAGAAAAACAAGTTTTCACTTCTGTCGGCACTCCCGGAGTGTCACTATTTTTATATTTTTTATTTTACTAATCTACATTTGTTTTATTATAATTTAACTTGTTAATTATTATTTAACTTGTTATTGTAAGTTAACTTGTTAATTTAAAAAACAATGGATAGTTTCCTGTTCCTAAATAGACATAGCAATAAAAGTGGTAGAGTTTCTTGAATAACAAGTGTTCATCAACATCATCAACAGCCTATTACAGTCCACTGCTGGACATAGGCCTCTCCTTAGAAAGCAGGTTTTGGCCTACTATACCACGCTGGCCAGACGGGTTTCATATAGGGTTTGTTTCAAGTTTTCCTTCTCTTTGCAGTGCTGTTGTCCTGCGCAGTTTGCTCCCTTAGTCGCCTCTTACGTCACCCAAGGGATGAATAGGGGTGGTGACATTCTGTATTCTTAATCCGTCACCACACGGACTAGCCTGACTAGATAACAAGTATTAGCGTATTTATAAAAGAGAAGCGCCTGTTTTCTCCTCACAGATGGAGAAACGCGGTGCAGGTCAAAACCAGTTCTTTCGTATCTTTGACTTTGATTATCACCTGTTTACGTGCTTCCGTCAAATATTTAATTTTCAAATATATAATTATGTCATAGAATATTAAATGCGGATACGGATTAGGTTTTATAATCACTTTCTTTATCTATATGCTAGGTATTATGATATACCAGTCTGTTTATCCGTAAGTGACTTAGTAATTTGAAAATAAATAACAGAACAAATACCTATTTTTTTATCCTATACATATTCCGTCGAGTCGCACCAACTTCAGAAAAAATTGCTACCTGCCTAGAGTTTTCACCGAGTTGAACAAACTAAATAGTGACAGTGGTTTTGATCTTCTTAGTACAAGTACTGGTAGTGCTAGATCCTATTTAACCGTCAGATTTGCTGATAGTGTTGCCTGCACTACTACAGTGTAAGTTGTGACTCTTGGTTTTGCATGTGTTTCAATTTGTTTTCATCTATTTACATCTTTAGTAATTAAATTAGAATGTAACTTAAGTAGAATGTTTCTTGTGTATCTGTGGAAGCTTGGTATTGGTTCTTCAACAACTAAATTACTGATGTACTTGTACTGTAACTGTAAGCTCCCCAAATATAATAAAATAAAAAAAAAAAATATTGTAACGGACGCTAGAGCCGGGAGTATGTGGGTTTAACCTTTATAGCAGTAGGCTATAAACGTTATTCCATACAGAAATGTCATATGTCATTATATTGCCACGATAACAGATTGTGAACTTTCGACTTCAGGAGAGAGCTAGCACTTTCACTGCTGCTCACATAACGATTATTGATTTGCATACGTGTTATGAAAGCGATACTAATTAGTGGTTGTATAAATGTTTTTTTTTAATATTTGCCGTAGTTCGCCGTTTCACTTGAGTTAATAGGTCCTTTGTTGTGTCTCTATTAAACATATAAAAACAAGACCAAGGATCTTGGAAGCCTAAGTTACTGTTATTTGTTTTTTCAAGCTAAAGGCCTCAAGTCTTGTTTTTCAAATTTCACAGGTTTGTCACAGGTATACAAAATAGGCGTTAAAGTACATTTCAGTTTATAATTTAAGTTAATTATTGAAACAAAGATTGGTTACTAACACCATTATAATTCAAGACCCGCTGGACCGATTTTACGATGTTTGATTCTTTAGATATGTCTCCGCCTCGAATAACAGGATAATTTTATTAATAAAATATTTTGAAAATTCACGAAAAGTTAGGAAGACAATTCATTTTCTCTTAAATTGTGTATGAAACCCAATACGGATGAAGAGCAGAGCTGTGACTAAAATGCATGTAAAACTGCGGGGAACTATTAAGTTTTAATAAATATTTGTTTCTTTTCTTTCTTTAAAAAGAGTGGCCTTGAGATTGTTTATGTTTTTCTTCTCATAGAGCTCAACTCTTTGGAAACGAGCGGTTGTAGATCAGCACAGGCATATACCTAATGGATTGTCTTCAGTTTACTGAATTTTTACAAAACAGATTTTTGCTATTGTGTAAGTGATCTATGACTAGAGTCGAAGACGATTTCAAATATTTTTTTTAAAACATAGATATTTTGAGTTTGAGTTTTCGATTATAATTAATTCTGTTTTCAAATATTCAAAAGTTTTATTTATTTTTAATATTCGAATGTTTTAAAGAAGTCTACGTTTCTTTAAAACTTCCTTTAATCAAGGTTGTTATTATTTGAGACGGTTCAGAAGTAAGTCGTTTGCTTGTTTAGTTTTTTGCTTAGAATAATTCATAAATTACTAGGCAATCATTTTAATACATTATACAAATCAATAAAATTTAAGTGTCTGCTTGTAATGTCTAAATAATAGGTTTTTTCATACTCATACGGTTATTTGCACTGTACCTATGTCAGTCTTTCTCTAAATTTGAAAAGCATTTAGGAAAATTGTAAGCTTGATATTGGTTATTGTTTGTGTTTTAAATTTTGTGGATGTGTTTTTTTCCTTAATTTTATTTCACTTTTAATTTGTTGTAACTACTAAGCACTTTTTTTAACTCAATTCAATCGTAAAATAATTATTTACTTAGTTGAAAATATGCATTCTGTGATCTCCTGTAATTGAAGGAGTACACATAACAAATACCCGTGTGAAATGTATTTTCGATATATTGTATACATCCTTTGTTATAAATCCTTAAATAAATAACAAAAAGGTTGAATATTTTTTGTCTGTCTGTATGTTTTCTAATCTTCAAAACGGCTGGACCGATTTTGATTATATTTTACTACCAGGTGGCTGTCTAAATTGCGAGTAGCTTAGGCTATTTTTCCTCTCAGATGAACCCTATAAAATTTTGCAAGGTTCGGCATCGAACCCGAGGTCTCATGGACTGTAGTCGCGTACCATACTACACCACTAATTCGGCGCTTTTCAAATTGCAAGCGAACGATGTCGTGGGTAGCTGGTACCCTGGTAGTTTGATAATAAGAGTACCTAAAATCTGTGTCCTATTTGGTTTTGTGTACTACAAGGACGGTAAATATACATTGTTATATCTAAGACGTGGTGACATGTAGAGACCTAAACTGATGTTTGTGTAGTGATGACTAACTAAAATTGTTTATGTCATTGTTTTTTAAAATTCTTAAAAGAACTGATAAGATTTAATAAAATAGAAAACTTGACAATGGAACAAAACTGTTATTAATTCAAATCGAAAATACGTTTTTATTTTGGAATTATTCATTATTGAGAAAATCCATAAACACTAACTGAAAAAATTATGCAATGTTTCACTGTTTATTAGTTTTTATGAAAAACAAGAGTGATAATATCTGAAACTTGAAATGGTAATAACTTTCAAACGAATAGTTTTATTCAAAAATTATCTAAATAATTAATGACAAAAACAAGTACTATACTTAAGTGTTTAAATTGTCATTTTCAAGGACAATTGAACATATAATTATTAAATAAAAAGACCTTGTTCAAATATGCATTAAAACATGTTCTAGAAATATTAAATCAGGGCCGATAAAATATATAAAACAAAATGTTGTTTTTGAAGTATAAATAGTAGTATAAATGGATACGTATCTTTGTTAAGTATTTTAATATAATGACAATGCTTTCATTGTGAATGTTGAATGAATTTGAGGTCAGCGTATTCGTCTGATATTCACAGCGGACAACCGTCAAAACATAAAGAAAAAGATCCAAAACAAAAAACAGTACACACTTACACTAGGTACGTTGATTTCTGCCTTTTATTTACTTTTTTATTGACTTCTGGTCTTATTCAACTTTATTTCACTATCAAACCCATTTAAGCCATTAGAATTTGACGTTAAACCCATAAAAAGAAATTAAGTTAATGTTGTTTTCAAAGTTAAGATTATACGAGTAATATATATAGATAACGTGGTCTTTTGAATCAGTTTAGTTAAAGTTTGTGGTTTTTTTTTCGAAATTTCGAAACAGATATCTACATATTTTTGTATTGGCCTTGATTATCACTGTTTAATTTCGAGAAATATTCAGCTTAGAGATTTACGAGACGAACAACATTTATTTTTCGACAGAATTTTAAAAAAGGCTGATAAATTGTTTATGGATGAGTTCCATGTTTAAGATGCGTAAAAAATTAAATTATTATTCTCAGATGGAAATAAATAAAATAAAATAAATAAAATTTGAATTTGAACATAATTTTACCTCAGTCATAAAATCTGTCTGTAATTAATTAATACCAGTGTGGTGTAGTAGGCCAAAACCTCCTTCTAAGGAGAGGCATAGGCCGTAGTCCACTGCTGGACTATTTAAGGCCGTTAATGTGATGATGTGTGAATTAATTAAAAGATGTGTTTTGTTATTTTTCAATAAAAGTACAAAAAAAATACAAAATCTTTACTAACCTGCGTTTCCCGCCAACAGTCAAGTCCAGTCAGTCAATCCGAGTCAAGTCACGTCATTGTCACACTGTCACCGTCACACGTCAGTCAAAACATCATCATGGTCATCACCTTCGTCTAAAGTCTTAAAATAATTAAACATTTTTACTTAGTCTATGATTTAAAAAAAAGAATGACTAGTATTTGAATTTGGTGCGCGTGTATGTCAGTGCGCGTCGGGCCGCCATGGCGACTGCGCTTTACTGTCGTGGGGGGAGGCATGCGCTCGCTCAAATACTACCACTACTACTCGCATTATGTCGTAATTATATTTTTAAAAGTTGCATGTTGACATTAGAAGTGCCACGGTGCGATAAACTGCATTAAACGTTTCGTGTTGGAACCGATCGATTTGTCGTTGGACTGAAGTTTGCCGATTGCGTCTCTTTGATATTGGCTTTTTTAAACTAGCGATGAAAGGGTTTGCAAATTGTTATTATGAAATTTTCCGTCTTTTCCAAACTTAAGAAAATAGACTAGTTGATCGGCCAAAGACATTAAGGAATCTAAAATTTTTGACACGTCTTTAAACCAGGAAAAGTTTACAGCGCTAATATATTGATAGGTGTAGTAGTGAAAGTGAAGAAATATTTCCATTTTCAAGGCAGAACATTTACTGAAAATCGGATATCTTTTATGATGAAAGTCTCTTGCCTGTTTCTAGTTTCGGTTGGATGGACTTCACAACTATGGCCCGGTAGATGATAAAAACCTAGCCTAAAATGTAGATACATACACCTCTATTTATGTTTTTGTGACTGGCAGGAGTGAAAATATATAAAAAATTACTTATTATAATATAAAAATAAGATAAACGTAATTGGTAAAGCTTCATGCAACTGTGAAGTCTGCTAACATTAATTGGATCATTATAATTCAACTTGTAACTTTTGAAAAAGTCAGCTGGAGAGAGTAAGTGAATTTTAATTAACTAGCATTTTCGACTTTTATAAATAATTAGGAGCGAACGGAATATGCCTCATATTAAAATAAAGGAATAAAGCAGACGAATAGATTACCTGTTCCTAAAAAAACGAGATAGTCCAGCAGAAGCATAGAGACTAATGATAAATTTGTTTAGCTGTAGAAAAATACATTAAACAATTTGCTGATGTGACTTTTTAGCTTTCGATTTTAAACTTATATCTTGCGGTTGGGCAATTGAATGTCACGTACATTGATGTATAGGAATATCAAACTGCAAAGTTTCTCAGCCAAGTCCTTAATAGCAACGGGCAAAAAATCCAGTGTCAATTCCTGAGGTAGACTATCTAAACTATCCGCATACTTCTATATTTGCTTACGGAACCCTTGGTATCCATATTAAACTTGCTTTTATCCAGTTTTTAAATATTAAATTCAATTGACAAACTGCACAACTTTGTGTTTGCTCTTTGATTTGCAAGCGACCTTTTACCGATCTCATTACGCACGTCAGATGCGCGAACAAGTTTCACCTTTGCAAGCTTCTAAGGAACTTCTGTACATCATATATGTCAAGGTTCCTTGAATTACGTACATTCACATCTTGGAATGTCTCTGCTGAAATAAGATCTTGCGGATCTGGTTTGATTTTACACGTTCACTTTATAAAATGCTTACAAAATTCACTCAAATACGAAGCTAGATTAAAATCTGTATGTGTTATTTTGATCAGTGATACAGAGATACTTAAATTAATTTGTTATGGCATAGGAGGGTATACTAGCAGACGGGTCAACTGATGTCAAGATTTACAAGAGAGTTTCTGCCCTTTGAGTCTACAAAAGAATTACTTAAACTGGTTTTCTGACTATCACTTCGGCCGAGCCGGCTAATGTGTGCCGCAGCATGGCCCTTCTACTGCTAGAGTATTCCATATTATATTAGAAGATAGATAGAAATGTAATAAACTCCATTATTTTACCCACCATAATCCTAGTCCTAGTTACGTGATATGAGGTAAGCAATAGGCCTTTTACCGGGCACTTCATTGATTAATGTAGTATGTATATTGAAAGGAAAGGTAGTTAAGAAATGGTAGAAAAGGGATAATGCTTATACGGATGGATTGAGGACAGTAAGTAATGGGTTGGCAATTTAGAATTACGTATGTGTAACGTGAGTAGGCTGTTTGGCAGGTCCGAGTTCCTAACCGCAAAAATTAACCTAGCTACATAACTGACCACCTTGACCCAGCGCAGTGGGGAG